TACATGGGTTCTTTATTATTCCTGTTACCGCGGTGGTACTTAGGTACTATGTTCTGTACTACTTCGGCTACTCCTTTGTTGGTGACGATACTTCCTTTCTCTTGGATCGCTGTGGTCCTCGTGGATTTACAAGTCTGTAAATAACATATGATGCTACGTATTCTCCCACAACCCTTCAATTCGCCTTCAATAAATTAAATGAAACTTTAATCACAATAGTTAAATATTTAAGCTGCTTACTTTAACTGAAACTTAAATTTCTCAGTCTCGTGCGTTTCATTTAGTGGGTAAATCAAGTTAATCCTTCTTCAGTCCTCGGTAGCATTGGCGCGTGAGTTCATCCTGTCGCGTCCCATTAGGATTACAGTTAAGGTCAAGTCTATTCATACTCTATAAGAATTAAGCTAAACAACTTACAGGTCAAGCGGTCTACACACTTTTAATTTTTTTTTCCTTTCACCGACTTAATATCTCATCCACGTAGTTACTTCTCAACTGTTATTTTCTGTTTCTGCAAAGTAGGGACGTTTTCTTCCCGTTTTCATGTTCGGATTATTGTATATTTTCTTTTAAGTGCTTCCCTTTAGGTATTTCTGTAGTCGCATGTTTTCCTTACTTAGGAATTATCGGCCAGTCAAGTGCGGTAAATTTCTTTATTGTCGGTCGCTGGGTCTCACGTTACAAATTTAATCATGTACTTCTTAAGGCATTTAATTCTTACTTATTTACTCTTCACATATTCAATAACTTATTCACGCTACATATTTATATACAGTAATTATTTAAGGATTATGGACATTCGCTATTTGTACTTCTATTATATGTTACATGGATTATATTATTATCCCTGCTATCGCTGAGGTAATTAGCTATTCTGTTTAAAAATCTAAAACCTCTTTTGTCTGTTGATGGTACTTCCCTCATCCTGTAACGTGTGGTACTTGAGGCTTTCCAAGTTTGTAATACTACGTATTCTCACAACCCCAATCAGTCTTACCCTTAACTAACTTAATAAAAACTTTAATCGCAATAGTTAATAAATTACGCTGCTTATTTCTCCCAGTTTGGGAGGTGTTCTTATTGGATTTGTTATTACTGATTAACGATAAACCTTAAACATTGATGCCTTCCTTTTAGTCATTCTTCGTCGTCACACCTTGGCCTACCCTACCGTAATTAAATACTGTTCACATTTGTGCCTTCCTTTTAATTAATCGGTCACCGGGATTCCGGAACATATTTAAAAATCTATAATTATGAAGGCTTTCTAAATTTATTTTGTTACTTTTATACTTACATCTATACAATAGATATTGGGAATTACTATTACTAACATTATAAAGTACTTAATTGTTGTTAAAGATTCGCTGCCTGGAACGGGGGGTTCCGGGCTATGGTGAGCCCGTAGATGAAAAGTATTTAGTTAATGACTTTTAATATTCATTAATCCGCTTACTTGTAACAGTCTGGGACGCTTTATTCTATCAATTATTAATTTGTTTTACTATTCACAGACTGTTGGGGATAGTCTTTATGGTATTCTTATACAGCCTATTTGCGGTTAGATTAGTGGTATGGTTGTTGGATGGTCGTTAAGGATTAAGACACCCAAGGGGTGGCACGGGCATGCTTCGCCGAAAAATCGTATGACATTATACAGCTCATTTTATTCTGGCTAACGACCAGTAAAAAAAAAAAAAAAAAAAATGCGGTTGCCATGCCGCATTGACGTAATTCAAGCTTGACGCGGTGCCCCCCTTTGCATTTTGAGGGTATGGGTTGTTCTCACATATTCATGCATTAATTGCAGTATATTACACGTTCATGCGAATTTAACGACATTCTATAGTACATGTCTTCCAATGCTTAGAACATGGGAAGGTCACATACTCCACTACGTTTCGTGGTAATTGGTCTACAATTTTAACACCATGTTATCGAACCAGTATTTACCCAAGTCTTTTTTCATTTCCTACGCAGTAGTCGTTCAAGGGAATTTATTTATGTCTATAGTATGACGCAAAATACAGAATTGCTTATTCTAACTAAGGCACAAATACATTGCAAGATTCACAGAAGAACAACTCCAGGCGTCTTGTTACTAATGCTTTATTATTATTGCCCAGTGTCCTATTCGCCTCAATTACAACCGAGCATGCATTGCTCCTTTGGTTTTAACCATCTTACTAATTGCAATTCCCAGTTCCCTCTCATCGCAGAATTCCCTCAGTTCACAGAATCATCGCGGAGGGGTCAACACACACCCCTCGGGACGAGGAGAGCTGCGTGGACCGGCCTGCTCCCACCTGACGCAATCTGATTCAGCAGTCCGCAGCCCATTCATCCTATGAATTTTTTTTTTTTCCTAGGTTCCTGCTTAGGTACCCTGCCTAACATCGGGCTTTCCTTTAATATGTAATAATAGGCATTTTCCCATAGCTTGCGTTAGTCGCAATCTGCCTTACGCGCGGTCTCCTAGACTGAGGAGTGTTACCCGTCTGCCATCACTTACATTGCCACTAGAGTGTTCTTTTTCCCCAATATCTGTTCAAGAACAATTCGGCTTGCCTGCCTGGGCGTTGCAGTCTACGTCCCCGGTGCTGTCGGTTCAAGGTAGCCCACCCACTTCTTGACTTCAGTTCCTGCCGCTAAGGGTGAGCATGATAGAACGCCATTAGTCATCTCCTAGAAAGACGGCATCCAATGGACCTGTGGAACTGACTATACTCTATCCGGAATTATTACTCAAGCCTTATTCATAATAGAAGTACACACTTTTTCACTTCCATGCGTTGTGTTTTTAGACTAACCCGCCAACAGTGGCCTTCAGGTGATGGTCAGCCCCACAACTGTGATATTTACCATTTTGTGATTAACTGCAACATCAGTGCTTCATTTACTTTACGTTAAATAGTAATGATGATAAATTAGATAACATACTTTGAGTGTTCCGTCAGTGTATATGGTCGGTACAACGTTGTCTTCATCTTATTGCAAGGAGCCCTATTCGTTTGGGTTTCGGAGCGTTTAATTCCCCCCCTGCTTTACCACATGTTCACCCCTGCCAACTCTTACTGCAGTAATATTTCCAGAACGACTACAGACCGTCGGGGAACAACACATGGACGGGGAACATTGGTTTGCGACCGAAGAATACTCTCGATGGACTGCACGGATGGGCGAATGAAGGAACTACTCAGCTGCACTGGGGCCAGCCTCGCTAGGCTAGCCTCCGCGAGGGCAGGATACAGCGACGACGACGCCCACGAGGACGACCCGGCGTGGCGGTGCACATCACGCGTAGCACGCATGAGAACGACTACAGACCATCGAGGAACACCTCATGGACGGAGAACATAGGATCGCGCACGAAGAACACTCCTGACGGACTGCACGGATTGGCACACGCAGGTCCTACTCAACCGCCCTGGGGTCAACCTCACTGGGCTAGTCTCTGCAAGGGCGGGATACAGCAATGACGACGACACGAGGATGTCCTGGCGTGGCGGGGCATAGCACGCGAGGCATGTACGAGGTAATACGCCCACAACACGCAGACATCAAGACGCCCGCCTTGTATACACATGCACCAGAAGGGGCTCCATTGGTCACTTCCAGGATGCTGCTTACCTAGCAGCATTTACCAGCCATGTACGCCCGACTCTGTACCTTTTTTCAGTTCTGGAAATTCCTGACTGTTTTTTTAACGGCAGAGGTAACGGGTGTACGGGCACGGATGTGGACGCAGACAAGGAAAAAACTCCTTGATACCCCGCAACGCAGAACTTGCGGCTACGCCATTCCTGGTGGCACGGCCCCCAACGTCAGATGAGAAGTCAACGCCCCTACACGCTGATGCTCCTTACGTGGCCAGCGCCCTCCCAATGGCTACGCCCCACATTCTTTCCGGATTGGACGGGCCACGCAGCCGTCACTTGACGAGCATGAACAGGAAACAATTAAGGACGTCGGACGGTGGAGGAGTGATGTTTTTCACTCATACGTCAGGCAAGATGTCATCATGCTTCCACATTGAAAACATTACGCGGCCAGCAGGCACTCGCCCTTCGGGGGGGGGGTCCGGCCAACTGGCTCTGCGAGTGGGGGTGCAGCGCCGGCCCCTAAGTATTACACTGTCCGCAGCTACTTACTCTGACTTGTAAGAGTAATGTTAAATTTGCCTTCTAGGTGTATTCTACAGCTACTGGTAATTTACGATTTCACATTATGTCTGGGATTGGCGCATTATTTCTGTCATGTGTTAGGCCACTATATGATACTCTATAAGCCCTGATTCTACTTGAAAATTATGTTAAACGTTTGCCTTACTTGTACACATAGTTAATAAGGATTCGGCGTTCTGCAGACCATGTTTTATTTAGTCATATGTATTAATGTTATTAAGTTGTTGTAGTGTAGTCAAGTTATACATGTATTTATGCTGTTGTAAATTATACAAGTTACCTGCTTCATTAACATGGTCTGCAAAAATTATTTATTTGTTAAATTATTTATTTGTTAAATAAATAGGTCCCCATACTGTTGGTGTCTTATTCCTCCATTATCAGAAAATCATAAATATAAATTAAATATTGATATTACCACTATTACCACTTTCAGACAATGTTGACAGTTTATTTTTTTTATTTTTTTATTTTTTTGAGATATATACAAGAGTTGTTACATTCTTGTACAGCCACTAGTACGCGTAGCGTTTCGGGCAAGTCCTTAATCCTATGGTCCCTGGAATACGATCCCCTGCCGCGAAGAATCGTTTTTTCATCCAAGTACACATTTTACTGTTGCGTTAAACAGAGGCTACACTTAAGGATTTGCGCCCAGTAAATCCTCCCCGGCCAGGATACGAACCCATGACATAGCGCTCGCGGAACGCCAGGCGAGTGTCTTACCACTACACCACGGAGACTGCTGTCTTATGTTATGTGATAACATTACAAAATTATAGGGATTTCCAAGAACAGAAGGCTAATAAATCTCACCTTGTCTTTGCAATATCAACTGGCATTGAGGCAGCAGTGGTGACTAAACCAGAAATCATTGAAGCACAGAAATGAAGGAAAATGTTCTCTTGGAAGTAACCTGTAAAAATAACAACGAATAGAAAACACCTACAAGTGTTACGTTGACACTCTTGCATCCCAAAGACACGTTTTAGAATCATTAATACTCTGATAGTAAACATTCCAATGACACTAAATTGCATTATCCAACTGCTATTCATGACCATTTGTATATTCATTACTGTCATGCATAATCAATTATAAATTCAATTTTGTTTTTGCATCTATTCTCTAGAGAATTAATTTGCAAACATTGGACACCAAATTTATAGTTATAACACAAGAAAAAGCTGAAGAAACAAAATGGTTATAAACATTTTAAGCATTGCTAAGTGCGCCAAGCGCACTAGGTTTACGTTCCACAATTTGCAGAGGAGACCAAAATCTATTATAAATACAAGTTTGGTTTTGCATCTGTTCTCTAGACAATTCATTTGTGAACATTTTGACACCAAATTTATTGTTATAACCCAACAAGTAAGTAGGCAATGAGTCATAATAATGTGGCTGAAGTATGTTGACCAGACAACACACTAGAAAGTGAGGAGACGACGACGTTTCAGTCCGTCCTGGACCATTCTCAAGTCGACAATCAACTTAAGAATGGTCCAGGACGGACCGAAATGTCGTCGTCCCTTCACTTTCTAGGGTGTGGTCTGGTCAACACCAACAAGTTAGAAAATATTAAACGATTGAAAAAATTGTCAAATCGCTGAGTGGGCTATGTGTAACCCAGGTACCCCAAAATGTTTACAGTCCAGAATGCATGCAGAAACTGCACCCCTAGTGTTAAAAGTAAATATTTTAAACTAGAAACCAATGACCATCAACCAGCTGTTGCCTTTGCCTTAAATTACAAATTAGTCAATATTATAAAGCACTGTATATTACAGTATATTCTGTCTCCAAATCCTACATTTAACCTAAAATTATTATTTCAAATCAATTGGGCAAATCAGTTCAAATTCAAGATTTTACCAGATGCAAAAGTAGAACGTTTTTATAATGACCTTTATCAAATTATATATGTTCACTAAATGATGGCAAGTGCACCAAATTCTACATTCTCCTCAATTTTAATGTTCCTAATATTGTGCAATAACTTGGGGTTGTCTATGATTCTATGCTGTTCTGATATCACTTCTGAGCTGAAAACATAAGTTAAAAAGGAGTAACTGATGCACAAATACAATAGTAGCAGTGTACTAAGAGACTGACACAATTTGCACTTTAGCATTTAAAACATCTATATAATTCCCTCATGATTATTTATTTCTTATACATTACAGTACTGTATGCTACTGTACATTTTTCTTTTGCACAGTTGTTTATATACATACAACAACTTAAAAAAATAACCAACATATTCTTTGTTTCATTAGGGTCAAAATATATACATATTCTTACCAGATTGTATGAGTGCTTGTTTGGCCTGAGAGTAAGATGCTAGCTGAGCAGCATTCACCACCATGGCTCTCCCCATGGTGGGTATAGCTCCCCTCCATAACGTTAACACGCCCTCTTCTCTCGTTATTCTAAACAGAGCGTCAAACACACTCTTATAGTTACGACGTTCGGCTAGTGGTAGTCTGCCATCCGATGTCATTCGGATTAGAGATATCTGAAAATGTAATTACAAAATTTGTATCAGATCAAAACACATTTATTAAACAAGTTTCTTTTTTTAAGGCTCAAAATGTCAGTTCCACTAAGCAGACAAACACTGTAGTGTAAAACTCTAAAGGAATGCCAGTAACAAACAAAACTTTCAGAACGTTTAGCTCAGTGGAGAGCTTCTAGCTTAAGAAGCAGTCATACAAAATTTTGCTATGGAAATGTTATCCTCTACAGCATACTGTATAACAAATCTAGCCAGACACTGAACTAAAGATTCATTCAAGCCGGACTGTGAGAGGGAATTCAATTCTCTTCCCTCCTTCCCACCAGCCCAGATTTTTGGGAAGAACACTTTGTATATTTTTGGTGGTTTGGGAATGCATTCCACCCCCATTTGTAGTATTGTGGCTGTGCCTGTGGGAAATCTGGTTCCAACTATGGAACAATTCATTGTTCCAACTATGGAACAGTTTTTTCACAATGACCTTATGGAAATATGTTGGGAAGTCCTGTAATGTATTTACTGTGATAATCTTATACATTAGTCCCTACCAAGAGTGCAGAATGCATTCTTATAAAGTTGAAAACATGCAAAACTTTTGAGAGATAAAGGTGCATAACACACTTAAAATTTTGACGACATTTGGAAAAAGTGATTCTAGTGAGCTATTGTTGTTTATGAAACTACATTGGAGAACCTAGCAGTCCTTAATCTGTGCAACCCACAATACTGTATGTAAAAATAGGCCTGATATACCAACCCGTCCTCTCGAATAGTACATCCCATTTTGACGAATAAATCCCCAACGTCAAAATATGATACACTATAAAGGCTCGCAAATTTGATGGGCTGTCCCATTTTCTCATCACGCGTCCTTGGTCAAGTTATGTTCAGGCAATCTAGTACATCTTTTTTTGTGACATTGTGACAACTCGAGAGAATGGGCTGGATATACAATATGGTGCAGTACTTTAAAAATCAAACAAATGACAATGTCAGTCCAAGATAAAAAAAATCAGATGAAAATAATTATTAAAGTGCACAGTTTTGTTGTCTATATGAACAAGTGCTTAAGGTCTCAAATTACTGGCACTGCACCACATTGTCACCTACATATGATAAAGTGTCACCTACACGTGATAAAGTGTCACCTACATATAAGTGATGCATAAAAAGTAAGGAGCATAGCTCCTGGTTCTGCTCTTATTGGAAAAGACTTCAGGGGCATGTGGAGTACTTTTCATCGCTTCCAAAAGAACTACCTTTTCCTGCAAAACAAAATGACAAGTGATAGAAACTATGTAAAAGATGAGCTTTAACAGTAAACAAAATTAATCTGTAAATACCATCTGGGTAGTTCACAATCCAGGTCACACATACTGTACTGTGTAAGGACTAACAACTGGCCCCATAGCCTGCTCAAGGCGGCATCATGTGTAATTAAGCAAAACTGATGGTGCTACTTATAGAGGACACAATTATGGATTGTATCTTTTGTCTTCATCACTGCTCATTTCCCACTTCCATGGAGTGGGGAGGCATAAGCCAAGAAAAAGTAGAGAAAATAGAAAAAAAGAATTAAAATGGTTGAACAGAGCCAAATGCCGACAGCAATGTAGGGAAACATTAAGTAGACATTTTCATTTGGAAGTGACAGTTGGCGTGCATGGGATTTATCAACCTAACAGAGGACCAGTGATATAGAAGTAAGATGGATGGGATCAGGCAAGTGAAGATACAGTAAGGTCACCGAGGCCAAAAATTATGCAAGTCACATTTAATTATTTTGAGGTATTTATCAAGTCAGGTAGCAATACTCAGTATTCCATGATTCTGTTCAATGGTGTTGCGGTGTTTAATGGCTGCACATTACACAGTGCCTTCTAATGTTTTCTCTGATGCACGTTTATCACTCCTAAATTCAAAAGGTGTTTATCCGGGTTTCTACGAGACATATGGTTGGTATTATCTACATGGCAGGTTACTCCAGGGGCCTCATTGGCCACTGGATCATCGTCTTAATTTGTCTTTCATTTACTCTCTTCTGTATCCCTTTAGTACCAGTTTTTCTGCTCTTTCCATTTAGTTTAGAGACAATTACTTTGTTTGTAGCTATTTTTCTTTTAGCTATGACTGTGATGCCAGGGTTTCCATTGGGAGTCTGATTTGTTCAGCCAGCAGTGCATCCCCCTATGGCTACTGGATTCTCCTCCCCCTCTTCCCCCCCAGTAGGTTTTTTCCTTTTTGCTCCATATGGAGACAGAGGCACCAAGTGCCTCCGAGCTAAGAAATCCAGCATTGATTGTAACTTCCAGTCTTGACTCTCACTGGAGCATTTAACATTTCACAAACTCAATACATAAAAACTAAGATATACACTAGGAGGCCCCCCCCTCTATTCATGTTATCCTTTCATGCAGGATTAAGCATATGATACAGTACCATTTAAAATGTACACCTAGGACATTATTAATATTAAAAATGGACAATACTTTACAAATGTATATACAAGACGATACATGATAAAAAAGTTATGGTAGAGAATATTTTATAGATAATGCTTTAATACTGCACGAGTAAATAAGCAATTATCAAAAGAAGGCACCAAGCTGGGGAGGCGATGTAGCACCGTCAAATGTGGGAGATATTCAAAAGGCGCCAAATATCACTAAGAATGCCAATACGATAACAAAAGTGCATAAAGCAAACAACATCTAAGATATCCGATTCATCAAGGATTCTATCGAGGGACAGGTGACCGTGAGGGACAGTCGGGAAGCAAGACACACACACATTCTGGAAGTCAGAGCATTCAACAAAGATATGCACGACCGTAAGAGAGAATGCAGTTTGGACAATAAGGAGCAGGGCGTTGCTCCATCAAGTGCCCGTGAGTTAAAAGGGTATGGTCAATACGTAACCTCGTCAGAGCCATTTCCCACTGTCGGTTACGGTGGTAGGAGGAAGGCTATGGAGACACGCTACCCTTAAGAGCATGCAGCCTGTTACCAGTAACAGAAGACCAGCGATCCTGCCAACGAGCAAGTATTGTAGAATGACTAACTGGGGTAGAAGACTAAATAAGGAACACCTTTGCGGCTGCTTTAATACAAGCTAAACTATATAACAATTAATTCTGAATAGCAACACATCAAATTTGTTCTTTATATATCCTGATATAGTATTCCAGTAAAATATGGTATTTGTCTGCACTTACTGTAGAGTTGCGGATCTAGACAAATTTAGCAATACTGTACTGTCTGTACAAATTTGTCAGACCTAATATCCCAAAGCAAATATTCCAACACTTATAAGGCCTGGCTTTGAGATTTCCATGTAAACACAGGATTTTCTCCATTTCTCAGAAAGAAACATTATAAAATTAAGATTTGCACTCTATATGATAAATGCAATAATTATGATAAAGCAGTAATAAGGAAATTTTAGAAAACTATAGAACATTATCAAAACAGCATATTCAAATTGTATAGAAATACTTTGTTCAATGTTAGTTATCTTTCTAAAGCTGATGCATCGTCAGCAGAAGTGTTGAAACTTATTTCTGGAAGTAATAAACCAAGAGAAGCCTTGTACGCTCACATATATGAACAAACAATACACACTTAAAACACAAAAGACATGCAAATCACTAACCTCTGCAGGAGTCCCCACAAAGGCACCCGCCATGCCAGCTACCATACCCAGGCCTGCTTTGACGATGAAGCTGGGAGGTTCACCACTGGGCCTGCCAAGGAAGGTCTCTTTACATACTTTATGACTTCTCTCTAATACCTGAATATTCAGGAAAGCAAGCAACTGTACAATAAAATACAGTAAGCTACAATACTTCCCAAAGGAACATCATACTGTAGGTAGTATTGTATCCATCTCCGTGAGAGGCCCAGATGAAATTCTAAAGGAACTTGAACAAATTTTCACAGAGATGTGTCCATTTACCTTACCTTAACGTGGAACAAATGCTGAATCGAAAATTTACCACTTTCTCATGTGATTGTCATTTATATTTTAGCTGTACTGCATCATTTTAATAAATTTATTTTGTCAGCATCTTATTTTATAGCATTTCTACTACAGAAAATTTAATCATCTTTCTTTGCAACAGTTCAGTGGAATCTTTGGAAGATCAATTCCCTATCCCGGTGAAATATGGAAATATTGTATGGGGTTGATATACAGTAGTGGTGACAATGACATACCCAGATGCACATTCCCTTACCCTGATGCTTTCTCAAACAACCATGTGTATATGCCAAGACGAGTGGTAGTGTATGTTGCCTGACGAAGGAGACCCGCAGAGAGCCCAGAGTAGAGAGCAAAGAGTCCTTCTGATTTGATCACATGCTTTATTACGTGGTAACTTGTCTTGTGCTCTTTACTTGTTGCAACCTGCATTCGGTTCTTGACGAGATCGAGGGGCTGAACGAAGCAGGTGGCCCCCATACTGTGGAAAACCAAAGCAACTTAAACATTTAAATGGTAAGTGTAGTTTTAGATTAATCAATACAAAACTAGTTATAAAAACCATGCCTTCCTGCACCTACCTACAATTTTAGTGATGTACTGGCCTTTATCCCACAAATATAATAGAAAGCAGCAAAATGTTTACAAATTAATGCATACAAACACCACAGCATGTGAAATTTTCCAATGTGCCCTCAGGCTAGGCACGTCTAGCTAGTGATCGACCCCAAAGACACATTTATCAGTCTTAATTTACCCTGTATCCAAATTTTGTATTTTCTCAAATACAAGTTATTACGTACTAAAATATGTTGAACAGTTAGGCCTAACTTAGGCCTACCTAAGATCTACCCTAAGTTAGACATCTAACTTAGGGTAGATGATCAGGTTCTGTTAGCAATTATTTATATTTGCAGTACTGTACTGTACTTGGATGAAATACGAAATGAACGAAGCTCCCATCATAAACATGGGGGTTTTGGCAAATGGATTGGTGAGCATTGGGTCTTTGTTGAGGACAGGATGGAGTTATTATAAGAACATAAAATTATAAATATGCCACTAGGTTATAGCCTTCTTGCAGAAGAAATGCAAGTGATTCAGCATTCAGTAACCATCACTCTACCTGTACTTGATAATGTTTTTAATTATACCCTTTAGATGAAATAGGAGCTTTAATAGACCATGTCTAAAACCAAAGTGCAAAAATTACCAAAATTGAAAGAGATGTAAATCAGAAATAAAATGAATATTTAACTTTCATATACAGTACATGAAACATTTATATACAGTACTGTACTCATAAGTGTTACTCTTTTGAAAAAAATAGACCAAAATAAAATGTGTGCAGCTCTTTCCGAGAACTAATCTGAGAACTCCCTAAATAACAATCCTTAACATAAGGATCGTGAACATGTTGATTATGGGTCAATAGGGTGCTTCACTAGAGAACATCTGTCACTGCCTTGTTCTAACGATGTTGGATAATTGTATTCCAATTTATACAGTATTGTATCCCAACTATAAAATAACCCATAGACCTGGATCTGTATAATGTAATACTGTACAGTACTCTACATGGGATTGTATATATATCTAAATGCAGAGCCCAAAATGTCTGTCTGCACATATCCACAAGCCTTAGGTTAGTTATGGGTTTATTATTTAAATGCTTCTGAAAATGTGTTGCGCACAGTCCAATATGACACTTGCCAAAACAGTGTGGAACACGGGCAATATCCCCAACATATCTGCTCCTAACACACAATAATAAATAGATTTTTTATTCAGGTAAAGGTATATACATTGAAGATGAGTTACAAACATAATGTTGGAATTTAAAAATAGAGCTAGTACATACAATACCTAAAGCCACTCGTACACATAGCGTTGCAGGCAAGATACCTGTACTTCCAATACTTCCTCTAAAGTACTGTAGTTTTATAAAAGATTAGTTCATGCTACTAAGAGCACTGAAAATATTTTTCTACTCAACATCAGCACATAAGAAATGTAGTATAATTGGCTTCATTCAATTCTCAGGCAGGACAGAAACGGTTGGGCACGTTTCCTGTCGCCTAATGGCTCTATTCACCTAACAGTCAATAGGTACCCAAGAGTTGGGCAACTGTTATGGGGTTGTATCCTGGGGCAGGGTCAGTAGGTAGACCTTGAGGCAATCTCAATACAAGCTTAAAGTACATGTATACATAGGCTTCCTGTCCCCGACAAAACGAATTATTGGCAGTTGATAGAAGTTACCTGTGACAGGTCACAGCACAGTGGAGTGTGACCTGTGACACCCTGCAGGGTCACGCACCAGTGTATGACCCACCACAGATCACACACCATTAATATGACCTCAGAAATGTAGCCCCATTATACATACATCACCACGGACGTCTGCCCGCTGTACCCCCTGAAAGGTCATCATCCCTGATACAGAAATGATAATTCACGAGTGAACCCAAGATAGCTGCGATAGCAAATTGCGTGCCTTCGTGATAGACCGATATCCTCCTCCCCCTGCCTCACACACACACACTCAACACCTACACACACACACACACGCTGCTTACCCTGCCATGCCTCCGAAGAGGAATTTAATGCCGTTAGGGATGGTGGTTTGCTTGTGTGAGGGAGCCATGGCGAGGTTGGTGTGGGGCAGCAGCGGCCCAGATGGAGACTCCGGCCCCGGTCACCTCTCCTCCTCGCCTCAACGACCTCCACTCACTCACGCTAATCACATCTCACAAGTCATATAATTATATATACCTGCTAGTCATGCTACATGTACACAATAAGGAATTCATATCCTCTCTATGTAGATATATGATACAAGTAAGCTTTACAGCAGCTCATCTAATTCATGGAAGTTGTCATATCGTCCTGTGAGAATATGTTATTTCTGGTATGCATATAAGTATTAATATATAAGTCACAAAAAACAGGATATACAGTTTAAATGTCTGCCAGATTTAATTAATACGTGTAGTAGAAATTAAAATTGTTTAAGAGCAATTTATCATGTACGTAAATAGATATAGTTTTAATAGTATTCATTTATATATATGAAAAGTCATTTAAAGAAAGTTAGGTTTATAGCTACAAAGTATATAAATTCTTCTGGATTATTGATTGAGAAATTATGGGTGAGGAGTAGTCACGCACTACTTGATATTTGGGTCAAAATTGTACACCATATATCACAACTCTCACAAGGGTGGAACCTATTATATTAGTGATTTTGAGTTGTCATAACTGTGTTTAATCCAAAGTATATGGTATGTGCTATGAAATCAGAAAATGAATTACAAATTTATCAATATCTGAAAAAGTCGATTGGCAACTACAGTATCGGGGAGAAAGTCGTGTCTTAGCCTATACTATTTGACAAAATAATTACAAAATATATAATAACTAATAATGTTTATATAATTCCTTTTATTTTTTTATTAATATTAAAATGTAAAAATTATTTTAATTGTTGTATACATTAATATTTGTCCAAGATTGGTTTCTTTAGGTGTTCATTTGATGAGGCGGTGTGACATCGGCTGCTGATGGTGGAGTCGTCCTGTCTGACCTTGGTCGCCTTCAGAGGTGAGTCACACAACTTTCATCTCTTAAATTGTTCATAATTACGTCGTGTCAGCCTTCCTTTATATTGTATATCGATTCCTCAACTAGTAAGAGCTTTACTGACGACTTGAAAGCTGATAGGAGTTGATATTTTGGTTATAAGAGTGAGATAAGTGGAGCCGGTGTGAGTGATCTTCCTGGGCGACCGGCCGAGGCGTCCCGCACCCGGCCGCATCTTTGATCTCTGCTCTACAGTAGTAGAAGTCTGCTCTCTTGTGCCGTGATCCCCCTGACCTCCCTCTTATCTATAGTACTGTGCTCCGGATGGCAGTCATTATATATATATATGTGTATATATATATATATGTATATAATTTATTTTATTTTTTATCTTTATGGGGGGGGACTAGTTAACGGCACTATATATAGAATTTGCTGTAAAGACTAAGATACTTTCACTTGCGGATTGAGAGTAATAGGTTATTGGTCATATTCCTCCAGCAATTGTAGAACATGGACAAGAGTGCCAAATTTAAATGGTTTTATATACTCTAGATGCGACTTACTCGCTTCTCGCATAATCCTTGTAAGCATTCTCTGGTCCATATTAGAAATTTAATTATGAAGGCTACCACAAGCCCTGACGAAGGTTAAAAAAAAAATAACCAGAATGGCACTAGGCGAGCCCGCAGCTTTCACAGGCCGTAGTGAGGAGTCCCGGGTCCCTCAATATACTAGGCGGACTTCTATATGAGTGGACATGTATAAGAGTGGGATTGGGTGGTTATAGATAGGAGCTGCCTCGTATGGGCCAATAGGCCTTCTGCAGTTGCTTTTCTTATGTTCTAGTTCCTTAACATTGTTCACGCGGCACGTTCCTGTTAAACTTTTCTACGAATTAAGTACATAAAGCTAGCGCTTAACTTCATCTAGCAATATAAAGGAACTTGCAGTGTTTGAAGATGAAGGAAAGCCGCCAATGAATGTAATATTAAACTTTTAAATTTTGGAATGAAGACCACATTTCAAAGTAGTTAGTTTGAAACCCGGAAATTTGGTTTAATATTACATTGCCAATTTACTTCACTTTTTTTAAATATAAACAAATTTTCGGATCATGACTGCAGTAGATAGTACATGTGGGACTTGGTTCGGCGTTGGGCTAGAGCCCTATATATCCTGGAGGGCTGAAAGTCGACAAAATAGCTTTTCGGCCAACCAGCCAGTTTACTTTTGGTTTTAAAGTAAATTATGTATACTTAATGCGCAAAGTGGGTATAGATCCGGTGTTCGTGACCAGCGTATTAATACCGGTGGGCGGGGCTCTGTTGAGGGCGGGGTGGGGGGTCCTGTGTCTCCGCCCCTCTCATTCTGTTTGACGAGTTTGTTGCTATGTTAAATACTAGATCTTGACTTGCATGGCAGATTTTGGTTCCCTTGTTGTATGAGACTAGTACTTGCCATGAACGTGGCCTAGATACTTGTGCAGTATCTAGTACCTGCTTCTAAAAGTACTGTTAATCTTTTATAAAGCACAAGACTTGCTAAGAATATCCAGTCAAAACTGGACGAACGTGAAGTTGCTCTTCACGTTTGAAGTTATAAAGATTGGTTGCATACCATAGCCATTCTCAAGCCGTAGCTTGGAAAGGGGGATTCGGAGACCAAAAATAGCTGGGTAGACGCTGGCAAGACATTGGGTGTAATATGCTAGGGTTGGCTACGTAAGTGTAGCATTGGTCTAGGCATTGTTTATAAATATGAAGCTTCTTTGTTTGATGTGACTGAAAATGGATCGTGCTAGACTTCTTTAAGGCATACTTAGGCTATTGTATTTGGACATTAGTCTTGAAAATTATAGGAATATTAAGCTTCAGACGGCATGCCTTGGTAGCAAGATAGGTTGGCAAGTGAACATGTGATCTCTTGGCATGGCAACAGTAGAAATTCCTAGGCATTTGTCTCCATCCTGTCCTCCATATTGTTGGGAGGAGCACACCGGCAACTAGACCTGCCTCTACTCCTGCCACTGCTTTGGTCAATTTCTAGACAATAAAATAAAAATCTCTGCACAAATTGCTATTTAATTGTATGCAGTAGTACACTTGCATGATAATACTAGTTAAGGATACCTGGAAGAACACCGGGAAATACCTGGTACCTGGAAATTTCCCTTGATAAGGGAATCGTGTATAGTTGCCGTGCTTTAGCAGTTAAATTTGTGGAGGAATGTGTCTGTCTAGAGCTTCTGAAAGATTGATGTAATAGTGATGTCGTGTATTTCTAGGCTTTATTGTACGTTGCTTTGGTTTATAAGAAATTGCTTTAAATTCCGTTAATTCAACTTAAGAATGTGGTCTTTGTTTGATTCGGATAACTTGGTTATCGATGTGCACTGTCGTGAAAGCTGTAGTGTTGTGGCAACGCTTTTGCGAGTAGTGTTCTCTCGGACGGTTTCAGCTCTGCATGGGTTTCGCCAGCTCCAGACTAAAGGGATATGGGAATTCTAATTCTAGAACTTCAGACATTAATGTAGTATCTTCAGGTAAGCATCTTATTAAATGCTAGATAATTCGTCCTTATTAAGCGACAATGTAACGGTATCTTTATTTTACTAGACTTTCAACTGTAAGGCTAGACTTGTTTGCGAACATGCAGAGTTTTAGGTGGAAAACGTTAAAATTTATGCAAGTTTGAGGCATGCCACATTAACTTATAAAGCTACATTTTTTTTTAGTTCTAATTTTGTCGATCATGGTTTTACGATAGTCTTCCGGTTAGTTGCCGTAACCAACATAGTACTGGCATAGTAGTTGCCGTACTATGACAGGGGTGGCTATTAAAATTCGGTATGCATTTAGAAATGCTTACTTATTTAACACTAATTCTGTCCTATAATTTGTGCTTCAATAAATGTACAAGTAATGTTGAAGGACGTGAAAACTAAAGTTGAGTTGACGTACTGAAACTATATTAAAACTATAAAATGCTGGAGATACTTATTCAGGTAATTAGTCGGGTTATTCTTGCATATCTTGTAACCTTCCTTTCGTGCACTGTATAAAATTACTATAATAGGTCTATCCTAAATCTGCCTAGATATTAGAACTTTAAGGTAAAATCTTTATCGAGCCAATGTCACCTTTGCTTGACCTTTGATTGCTTTAGGTTGCGGCGTAACAACTGTTCATGTCGGTTGTCATTATGTAATTTTTTAACGCTTTTCCAAATTGGTGAGCTTTTTAATCACGGTACTTTGTGAACAGTTTTAGCTTAAGGTTTGACCTTTTTAAGTGACTCGCTCGTGTCCTCTGCGCTCTGCTCTGAAGGTCGCCCAAGGAGGCCAGCAGGTGCATCTGAGCACGCGCAATGCCGGCTGGCTCTTAATTACTACTTTCTAGATGAATTATACTCCTATATTCTCAACGTTTATCGAACCAACGTAAATTAACGTTGATGGTTAAAAGAACTTTAAAGCTTTAACATTATATTCAATGACGTGCCTCGTTGGCGCATGTCCACCAGACGTGACGTAGATGCCGCCCATAAGTAGGGCTGCCGCTAGCCGCTCTGTGTCAGTCGCGCCAAACCAGTGGTGAGTGGAGGTTACGCGTGGACAGTTTTAGTTTTGTTTTATATACAGTATCTTTTTAGTGTCTAAACACTAGCTTATTTAAGTGTTACGAAACGTGTATTGAATGAAGCTGATAACTAGTAATGAAATTGTGTAGCCAGATGTTTATAGATATTCCTCGGCACTTGCCGGCTTTCCTGGAAACGTTTCAGTGACGCAAATTGGCAAGGCCAGTAAATTGTACCTAGCTATAATGGTTCATAACTTTTCATTGCAGAAGCCTCCTCTCCAAACCTCCCCACCACAACCACCATAATGTCCAAGATTGGAATTAACGGATTTGGCCGTATTGGTCGTCTTGTACTCCGTGCTGCTCTTCAAAATGGTGCGCAGGTTGGTAAAGCTTGCTCTGTGTTTCTTGAATCTTCGGCACATGAACCTGTGCACCTGGTGGGAAGTGGTCTTGTGTTGAAAACTAGTCTAGAAGTGCATTCATTGATAAGATTAATGTTTAAGTGTTAGGATTCGCATAAAATTCCTTTGATCAGTACTAATGTTGTGCTATTTAAATACCGTAATCTTAGAAGTTATGGAAGTAGAATAAACAAAATTCTCCCCATGCACACTACATTTGCTTCAAAGTATCTTTAATTTAAATTAAATTTCTTTATTTTAAATGGTACCGTTAAACTTGTACGTGTGCTCAAATTTTGCAAATTTAAGTCTTAGTCGGTTAACAATTGGTCTAGTTTATATTTAAATATAACGAATCTCTCTCCTCCTAGGTTGTTGCAGTGAATGACCCCTTCATTGCTCTGGACTACATGGTGTACATGTTCAAGTATGACTCGACTCATGGTGTGTTCAAGGGTGAGGTGAAGGCAGAGGATGGTGCACTGGTTGTTGATGGCAACAAGATTGTAGTCTACAATGAAATGAAACCAGAAAACATTCCATGGAGCAAAGCTGGTGCAGAATACATCGTAGAGTCTACCGGTGTCTTTACCACTATTGAGAAAGCCTCTGCTCACTTCACTGGTGGTGCCAAGAAAGTGGTAATCTCTGCCCCCTCTGCTGATGCCCCAATGTTCGTCTGTGGAGTGAACCTTGAGAAGTATTCGAAAGACATGACCGTAGTTTCTAATGCTTCCTGCACCACCAACTGTCTTGCTCCTGTTGCGAAAGTCCTTCATGAGAATTTCGAAATTGTTGAAGGTTTGATGACTACTGTACATGCTGTCACTGCCACCCAGAAAACTGTTGATGGCCCCTCTGCCAAGGACTGGCGTGGTGGCCGTGGCGCTGCCCAGAACATCATCCCATCTTCCACTGGTGCTGCTAAGGCTGTCGGAAAGGTTATTCCTGAGCTCAATGGTAAATTGACTGGCATGGCCTTCCGTGTTCCTACTCCAGATGTGTCTGTTGTAGATTTGACTGTCCGCCTTGGCAAGGAATGCTCTTATGACGATATCAAAGCTGCCATGAAGGCTGCATCAGAGGGTCCCCTCAAGGGTATCTTGGGTTACACTGAGGATGACGTTGTATCTTGTGACTTCACAGGAGATATACGGTCCTCCATCTTTGACGCTAAGGCTGGTATCCAGCTGAGCAAGACATTTGTCAAAGTTGTATCTTGGTATGACAACGAGTTTGGGTATTCTACCCGTGTCATTGATCTTCTAAAGCACATGCAGAAGGTGGATAGTGCCTAAAATGTTGGCATATCCTGAAGATATGGTGATGTAAAGAACGATGGGTAAAAGAAGTATGAATGTGGAAAGTTACTATGGTTGGGAGTAGTGGCCAGTCAATTGTATGCTTTATTCCCATGGTTTGGTTTTAGATAATTTGTGTAAATCGGGTTTCCCGTTTAAAATAATTTAAGATCTGCCTAGATTGATTCTGTACTTGTTCGGGAAGATGAAAGGTATGGAGTAGACTTGAAAGACCTGCCTCCAGGCTCCTTTAAATCGGCTTTGCATTAGCTCTGGTCTCCTTTGAAAAGAAACATTGTCTTGGTTAATAAATATTATGTAGGCTGTGACCAACTGGATATTGGCAAATAAATGTCTTTATTTCAAGTGTGTTTAAAGTTTCCTAAAGGTTTTGAAGTTCTAGTTAATTGAAAGATTTAAGGAAAGTGCAATGTCATTCTTTGTGGATGTCCTTAAGTGATTATGCCTATTACGAATGGTAAGATAGGAATGATCCAAATGGGGGTAATAGGTTTCATCTCGCAAACTTCTCCTCGGCTTGTCGCCTGTTGATAATTGCTTGCTTGGAGAATATAACCTTTGATATTTAACAAAGCTGATGTTACCAGTGATAAGCACAGGCTTTATCTCCACAATTAGTCTATTATTCAGAAGTCTTGGTTGGATAGAAATGAGTGGGTGTGACTTTCCACTTGAAGGATATTGCGGAACAGATTGTAACTGAACACTAAGACTCTTTGACCGCATCTTTGTGTGCTGCTGATAACCGACCTGTGACTAGATAAAAGACGGGAACGTACCGTGTCTTGCTACAAGTTTGTACTAGAGTAGATTAGTTTAACTGGATAAATGTAACGGTGCAGGAAGTCTGTTACTTTTGAGTTTATATTGATCCACCTTGCCCGATAACGAGCAATAAGACTAACCTTGGTGTTCCATAAATAGATTTAATTTAATATTGTAATCCGACCGTGAGTAGACTATACCTCTAGCTTCACATAATACTCGCTAGGTGCATACCATAATTTACAGTAATTTTACACTTTAAAACAATGCCTATGTATTTAATAGTTTTAAAAATATATCAGTTAGCCATAGACCTAAGCTAATAAGACTTACATTTAATTCAAAGTGCTTTAGATAACTGCAGTTTTAAATTGTCCTATGGAAAAACACTGGCTTTCCCAAGGTTGCGGTGCATGGGTGACGTCAAAGGCGGGGAGCATGCGCCTGATGTTACAATATCCGGTACGGCTGCCACCTAGAGTAATAAACACGCAGTAATGGCTACATCATCATACCTCTACTCACTCACTCGATCCTTGCGGTTACCTTACGATGGTTTCGGGGTTCAACGTCCCCGCGGCCCGGTTGCTGAACTGGTCAACCAGGCTGTTAGACGCGGCTGCTCGTAGCCTGGCGTATGAATCACAGCCTGGTTGATCAGATTCTCACACTCGCTCATATTACAAGTATTATGTGAAATTATATTGTGCAAGAGTTCCACGCATGAAGTAAATTACTGTACAGAGAACGATGCGTTTGTGTTTAGTGGAAGCAAAATGACGTCAATGAAGCTGCCAAGCGATGTCTTGGTATTGAATTATTTTATTATTAGCATGGATGTGAGGCTTCCAGTCTAGGCTTTGTGGAGAACTAGCTAGATGGCGTGCTTGGGTCTCTTACACCCCCCCCCCCCCCCTATTACCTATTTTTCATCTTCCTCCCACTCTCTCTCGCTCTTTATCTCCCATCTCGCACAATTTATTACAGAATAATAAATTACAGAAAATAAATTTGCTTAAACTACAGAAACAAAATTCAAGATTTAAGGGTAGCACTGGGGCCGACCCCCGACTGGCCTGACACTGCCATCCTACCTAAGTCTCGTCTTGAAGAGTTGAGTGTGGCTAGCCTCGAGCGTCTGATATCTGGTCGTCTACCTTGGACAGACAGATACATTATCTTGTATAGACATAAATATTCCAGTAGCATATGCCGTTGTATCCGAACGTAAAGGTCTAACTCTCCGGCTTGGCGCCTTCTTTTGGTAATTACCTAAAGGTCTAGCTCCTCTCACTAAAGGTCAGTGGTCGACAACTTATGCTTTTTTTCTCAATGTTAACATTGAGATTCATATTTAGCTGACTGATGAATATAAATTTAAATGCAACAACTAAAAGTCGATATTATTTTTCATCGGTATTTTCACAGGAAAACAGTTAGCCTACTAAGTTTTGTTTGGATATAATTTGATTGAAGACTTGAAGGGTAAGTGATTACCTTTGGCCGGCTGGCTACGTGAGAAACTCCAGGTCCCCAGTGGGCAGCGTCCCTCCCTGAAACAATGGTCTCGGTCAACCACTACATATATGTCCAGTCCTCCATCTCTACCTCTCACCTGTTTGTCTGTCTCTCACTCTCAACCCTTTTCTCACCCCGTCTCCTACTCTGCTGCTCCTCTCATCCCGTTTATCTGTTTCCACTCTTCCTCTCACCCCGTTTATCTGTTTCCACTCTTCCTCTCCCCGCTTTCACTCTCCCCCCCACTTTTACCCCACCCTCTCTATTTTCCACTAATCCCTTCGTCCCTCCCCGGCCTCTCTTCCCTCCCTCCCTCACTCGTGCCCGTCCCTCACACCTCTTCCTTTCCCATGCGGTCACAACTATAATGATTTACATACATTAGTTAAGAAAAAGGCTAAAGGAATCGATCCAAGGAACCCGACCATACCTCCACTCCTGCATATATGCTCTTAAATCCTTATATAGTTTGTCGTTTGTTTAATTCATTAATTAGATTTAGATTTTATATTCAGGTAAAGGTATATACATTAAGGTATATACATAATGTTGGATTTAAAGATAAGAGATAGTACATACAATACCTAAAGCCACTAGTACACACAGCGTTTCGGGCAATTATGTCAGTGTACCCATCGTGTGGGCGATGGTGGGAGAATAACGGAAGTATACCCTCCCTGTACCCACTGTTGGAGATAAGGGTTACAGAAGCACCCTGTACCCTCTGCTCGATAGCCGGGAATGGTCACAGACGTCGAGGTACTCGACTGTGGTACAGACAGCACCCAATGCCCATGCGCATCTGTTGAAGAGGGGGAGGGAGGAGGTGGATGCACAGGCCACATGGAGTTTCCTGTCGCCAAGGCCAAGTGATTGCGGCCGTCAGCCACATGTATCGGGTGCGTCACACACTCGGCAATACACTCCACAAAGTCCATGTTTATCTTAATGTAGTCTGAGATAAGTGAGGGGAGGGGGGTAGGTGGTTTGTGTTGGCCAGGGGGGGGGGCGGGTAGAGGATACAGTTTCCACTGAAAATAACAAAATGTTAAGAGTCTAATCAATTTAAGAAACGGTTATATAACCTTTATTTACGGACCGACATTATCACACGATGCTGCTTTGTCTAGACAAGGGGACAAAGACCCTTTAGCTGCCCCCCCCCTCCTGATCTTCTAGACATAGGAGCGCGGATTCCTTACCCCCCCCCCCACTCCCTGGCCTTGACAAGGAGGCAAGGAACCCTAAGCTTTTCCCTCCCTCCCTCCCCCTGACCTATTAGACAAGAGAGCACGAACTCCCTTGCTCCTCCTCTGCCCGACCTTGTGAACTAGGGAGCAAGGACCCTGAGCCGTGCCGTCACCCTGGCAGGGTGTAGAGGAGCTACATGAGGTAGACCAGCTGACCTTCAGGCGGTGTTACCATAGTAACAGGGTGCTAGCTTCACCACCTCTCTCACAGTAACACATATTGGACTATATTTATCTGAGGGCCGCTAATACTAGCGACCATCGTATTTTATATTGTAATATTTTCGAGGAGGAAGGATCTTTGACAAGCTGCCGGCTTCCTGACCCCGCCGAGGTAACTTGAGAATGATGGTGGTAAATTCAGGTAAAATTAAAGCAGTGTGACTCATATATAGGTTCCTCTCTCTCAGCAGCGGAGAGGCTGAGATGTGGCGGGCGGCCCGGAGCTGGTGGTGGTGGTATTACCTCATGTATGTCTGCGTGATTGTATTACCTTCACCGCCTAGTGTATCTTCCCAGTCACCCCGGTAACTTCTCCATCTTGTACACCAGGCTTTCATGAGGAACTGTATCAAATTTAATTATTATTAAATGCTGCTACTGTTATCATGTGGTGATGTGCTGTCATAATACTGGTGGTGTAGTTGCTATGTGCGGTGGTGGTAAGATTACCGTTGGTGACGTTAGTGGTGGTGCGGTGTTGGGACAATCCTGTCAGGGCAGCAGCCTAACAATGGAGCCCTCAGACCCCCTACCCTCCAACGTCTAATCCCTGTTTGTACCCTAGTTCCCTACCCTGAACGCACCCGCACCTTGGTTCTGGCGTCGACTCTCCTAAGTGACAATTATCGGTCTCTTTACACCTCTTTTACTACTGATTCCCTTCCCCGTATTTTCAGCCACACTCAAACACAGCACGCACTCACTCACTCACACTGGGAGTGAATGCGCTCCAGGAAATGATAGACTTCTTTAACGAGTATAGTGTTCGGATGCAACCGGCCAGTTTGTCCCCCCTCCGGAGGGAGGGTAATAAAAGGCATAGGTCTATCCCTAGTTTAACCAAGGATATAGGCAGGCGCTTGAGCACGATGGCCTGGAAAACTACAGGAACAAAAGAACAGCGGAGAGTACAGTCGGAGGCTTCTATGCTACCCTTGTCATCTCAGAGTTAGAAGCTTCTATGCTCAGGGTGAGAAGTGAAGCATAAAAGCAGTTTTAAAATAACATTGCAGCTAGACCAAAGACCCGACTCAGATTAGTTCACAGTCCATTACGTGGAAAATAACAGTTAAGGAACAAGTGATGACACTAAGGATAAGTGAGGACTCATTCACTGAGAACGACAAAGAAGTGTGTGAGGATCCTAACAGGTGGCCATCACAATAGAGCAAACATAAGTTCCTGAGCTAAGGAGGATGAAACCAAACCAAACACTGCCAGATAACTAGAGACGAAGTAAAAAAAAAAAGGAGCCAAGCACAATTAAGATTGTTAGATATCACCATGGATACTAGGAGAAAGAGCAGAATTCATGTGCTGGCCACTCACTATGTTATAAAACAATTCACTGGAAATGGGAGAATTGCAAGTGAGGTGGAAGACATTGATATGCCAATTATACAAAAAGGGAAACATGAGGCATTAAACTACAGTTCAGTGTCCCTTACTTACATATCATTCAATATTAATTATTTATTTATATATATATACAAGAAGGTACATTGGGTTGTGAGGATACATAGCATAGTGTTTACATTCTTGTAAAGCCACTAGTACGCTCAGCGTTTCGGCTCGGATGGTAACATATATGGTACGGTAATATGGTGACATATAACACGAGAAAGAGGATAGTAGAACATCCGGATAGAATGGATTCTAACAACACCAGCACGGGTTTAGGGACCCCAGCCTCACGTACTAACTTGACAGAATTATATGATCGGGGAACTAGAACCAAGAGCCGTGGGTCATCCCCTGCTAATATAACTTTAAGTGAGTACTCCAGCCCTCTCTCTCTTTGTGTATATAAATATTTACGGTCTATAGCTAAATATTAGTGCCTGTTCTTCTTTGTATTGTCTGTGGTACGATAGTTTCCCAGCATGAAACTTGAAAACACACATCATGAATTTTGAAACCGCACGAAATTATAAGAACATAAGTGGGCACTCGTAAACAAATTCACTGATCATTCTCGTGTTCTTATTGGTTGTTGGTCTGGTTACCGCCCTCCCGTGCTGTCCCGTGATTGGTCCAAACTGACACACCCACAAGACCAATTACAGTTGTCATTACAATATTAATGTCCTCCATATGTGAAATGATTTAGAAAGAAATTACATTAAAAATTGGATATTTGATCAGTCGATACGTCCATATTTATTTTTGTTTGGTGTGGCGCAGTGTATAATGTATGACACACTCAATTAGTCTGGTTAAACATCTGCATGGTGGTCAGTAACTGAAGAGGTGAACGCACAGCCTCGCTCTATGCTGATTGGAGATTTGCTGACCGTAGTTGGTGTATACTGGTATACCAACCTACTCATGACGAGCTTCCCAGCCTTACAAGTGCGCTCACTCCGATCCTCCCTCACCCTGCTCCAGGGTCACCCTCCCTCACCATGCTCTAAGGTCACCCTCCCTCACCCTGCTCCAGGGTCATCGTCCTTGGCTGGTGTCTGGGTGACGGTGACGGAGCTGCAGGTGTGGCAGGGTGAGGAACTAGCAGGCCGGTTAAGATGAGGAAGCTGCAGGTGTGTTAGGGTGATGGAGGTGGAGGTGTGTCAGGGCAAAGAAGCTGCAAGTGTGATAGGGTGTGTAAACTTCAGGCGTTAGGGTGAGGGTGGAGCAAGTGAGGTATAGTGAGGATGCTACAGGGGTGTTAGGGTGATGTTGGTAGAGGTATGGTAGGGTGAGAAGGTTGGTGGTGTGTAGGGGTGATAACCCTGCAGATGTGTTAGGATGAGGGAGGTGCAGGCGCTTTAGGGTGAGTAGCAAGTGTGGTAAGATGAGGAAGCTCCAGGTGTTCCCACCAGCTGTGACACGCCCCACCAGCTGTGACACGCCCCACCAGCTGTGTCACGCCCCACCCAGCCACCAGCTGTGTCACGCCCCACCAGCTGTGTCACGCCCCACCCAGCCACCAGCTGTGTCACGCCCCACCAGCTGTGACACGCCCCACCCAGCCACCAGCTGTGTCACGGCCACCACCAGCTGGTGTGGCCGCATTCGGCTGTCGGGCTGAAAATCGATTTTGGCTAAATTCGCAGCAGACCTCACGTTCTGGCTCAGGAAATGTATATATTAATGTGATGGCACGCATAACGAAAGTGATAATTTCACACCCACACATGTACACTTGATCTATCTGTATATACAGCGTGTTCATGAAACTATTTTGAAATAATTCTAGAATAATAATGTCTCCCTCATGTCATTGCTGTGATATACTGCTCGACTTTCCGTTACCTATAACTAGGTTAAATACCGCTACGTCTGGCCAGGTATTGGATGGGTAACCTATAGGCAAATCAAATCAAATCAAATGTTTATTCAGGTAAAAGTACATACATAGAGGATTAGTTACAAAACATAATGTTGGATTTATAGATAGAGCTATATTACTATAGATAGAGCTATTAAATAGCAATTAGGTGGCGTTTCCGTGCTGACATTGGTGTTATATGCCATCCTGACGTTGGTGTAATTATATAACCATCCGTACATTGACATGTAGCTGTCAATAATTTTCGGTCTCACTGACATGACCTTGACCCTTGGTGCCAGCGTGACCCTGGCACAGGGAGTGCCTGGCACCCTGGGTGACGGCGACGGTGAGGGAGGGGGAAGATGGCGGTGAGGGCGGGGAAAGATAGAGGTGAGGGTGGGAGAGAGAGAGAGAGAGAGGTGGAGGTGAGGAGGATCAATAAGAGGTTAGAGTCACTCTCCCTCACTCTCCCCACCATCAATAGTGAGGGGTCGGCGGCGGCCGCTCATTGGTCAGCAAGGGCGCCAGGCGGGATGCAACACGCGCGCTCATTGGTGGGATCGATCGCCCTGGCGAGTCCGCCCAGGGAGCTGTGTTCCTTGGTCGAGGTTAGCCTCGTCTCTTGCCGCTCCTTCATTTTGTATATTTGCCTATCGTTCTTTTGCGTTATCGCCGATATAGACTAGTGATAATGCGGCGTCAAGCGAACGGTTACGTGGAGAGGCGTGGAGGAGGTGGACGAGGAAGAGGAAACATTGGGCGAGGACGAGGGGGCCAGCGTGGCGGCGGTGGTCGCGGCGGCGGCGGCGTCCACAAGCCTCCACCTCTCATGTCGCGGCCCCTGCCTCCCCCACCAGGCATGAGAAGACCCCCTAACATGGGACCTCCCCGGGGGCCCATGGGACCACCACCTCCCATGGGCATGGGACCGCCCCCGGGCCGCATGGGTCCCCCAGGTCCTGGCCGCAGACCCAATCACATGGGCCCTCCAGGGCGGATGGTGGGCCTCCCCATGGGGGGTCCCGGACGACTAGGACCCCTGGGCCCAGGCCGACTAGGACCTCCTGGCCCTGGACCCATTGGACTAGGAAGAGGCATGGGGCCGCCCCCTCCCCGGCTGGGCATGGGTCCCAGAGGCAGGGGAGGCATGCAGGGCATGTTGCCCCCGCCGCCCATGGGGCCGCCCTTCAGGCCTCCGGGTCCGGGCATGATGGGGCCTCCCAGGCCGCCCATGAGGGGTCGTGGGCGGGGCCGGGGCATGAACAGAGGCATGACTCGTGGCATGTCTCGAGGCATCGCTCGGGGCATGACGCAGGGGCGAGGTGTGGCCAGGGGGCGTGGCGGCGGCATTGCCATGATTAAAAGCAAAGACAAGCAGGTATATCAACTCTTATCTTTAACACTTGTTTTTGGCTGGTGAAGTGTGATGCTTGTTCCTTGTATTGGTGCCTTTGATAATTGTTCCTTGTATTGGTGCCTTTGATAATTGTTCCTTGTATTGGTGCCTTTGATAATTGTTCCTTGTATTGGTGCCTTTGATAATTGTTCCTTGTATTGGTGCCTTTGATAATTGTTCCTTGTATTGGTGCCTTTGATAATTGTTCCTTGTATTGGTGCCTTTGATAATTGTTCCTTGCACCATTAGAGGCGTAGTTGATACCCCTTGGTAGCTTAAACCATTTGGGTCATGGTTTGCTAATACCATTATTTTGCACTTCTAGTTTGTCCAAGGTTAGGTAATAAAATGGGTGTAATGGGAAAGTTTCCTAGTATGACAATTGAGTTGGTTGTGGTTGCCAGTGCTATTAATGAGAGCTCTCATCCAGTACACCTGATTTCCTGAGCAAACTGAAGCTATTCATTTGGTCCAGAGCTGCACACTGATCTTGGTTGCTCTCACAAAACTTATTATAGTAATGCTTTTATCTGCAGAATACTTGGTAAACATGTTAGATTTTGGCCAATTGATGTAATCTATATATATAGCTTTTCTAGTATAATGATAGTTTTCATTCATATTACTGCATATTTTATACAAGAACTAGAACAACAAAAGATCATTAGTTTTAAACTATACTTTGTTATGAAGTAAATTATGCATCATTATGCAAATGATGTAAGTATAGTTTTGAAAAGAAGTACTTGTCTGATCTACAGTATTTTTAAATGGTTCACTAAATTACAGAATTTGGCAAGTAACATTATTATTATTATTACTCATTGTTGAGGGACAGGCAGCTACTTTGTTCATGTGTGTGTGATATATAATATACAGTATATAATATAATAAATAAATAGGCTTATATCAAGCCCCCTCTCCTCCCTGGGTTGGACTACTGGCCCTCTCCAGGATGCAACCTCACAATAAGCTAACTCCTGGGTACCTATTTACTGCTAGGTGAACATTAGGCGAAGGAAACATGCCCAACTATTTTTGCCCTGCCTGGGATTCGAACCCGGAATTCCCGATTGTAAGTAAAAAATGAATCTAACGGGAATGCTCAATTTAAGAAGAATTAATTAACTTCTTAAACTAGCTTTGTATAATTTGTTTTAAAGCTGTGGTATAATTTTGTCTTTTCTCAAGTTTGGTGACTAGACTATACAGTATAGAATAAGTTATATTAATGAATTGTAGAGTGAGAATGATTAATCAAATATCAAAAAGACCTCCAAATGAAACTTAATATTGCCTTGGCTTTCTTTATAGTCTGAGTGTACTGCTTGCTTCGCATTAACATTAATTATCATGCTGACCATGAAACATCACTCTCAGATTTTAATTTTTAGCAATTTTAAATATTAAGCTTCATAAATAATCTGCTTATTACAATAGTAAATTCTTGCATAATAAAAATATTTGGAACAGAAGCGGTGGATGTTTTGTTTAAGATACATGGCTAGCGGGGTTAACGGTTACAGCAAGCTAACAAAAATGCTCGGTAAGAATTATCAAAGTCTAATACTGTAATAATAATAAATAAATACATTTTTATTCAGGTACATGAATGAATGATTTTGAATGTACATACATTCAAGATGAGTTATAAACAGAATGTTTGATTTCTAGCTAGAGCTGGTATATACTATGCCTAAAGTCACTAATACACATGTGGCAAGATGTGGGAAAACCACTGAGACTGAAATTTAAAACTAATTGAGATCTAAAGCATGAATTGAATTGAAAAAGGGAAAAAAAGATTGATGGTGCATGTTTGATACTGTACTGTACAGAACACCAAAAAGAAACCTAATCATTTTATATACTGTATCAAGAACAAGTAAAACTAAACTGTGTAATTACCTAAGTGTAATTACACTTAGGTAATTACACAGTTTAGTTTGTGTGTGTGTGTGTGTGTCTTAGTGTTTTTAATTTGGAAGTTAAATAGTTTGCTAAGCAGTGATGGTGTAATATTATCCTTCCTTTTCTTTGTATTTAGCTTGATTTCAGTGTGTTGCTGAAGGTGCACTTTGTGGTGTTGAAGATACTTTTGTTAATCAATAATTGTTAAACTAAAATGTAAATACTATAGTGCATGGAAGAATGAAATTACATTCAATGTTAATGTCTCACATTTTGTAGATACAGTGGTACAGTATTACTGTACAGTATGGTCTGTTGCTATAGCTATGCATTAGGGATAAAGCGTTAATTCTTGTTGATATAATAGAATTTGTTTATGCAGATGAAGATCACTATGCAAAGCATATTTTAAATTTAATGCTAACTGGTGTCTTACTTACTCCAGGGAGAAATGAACAAACCATGGGTAACAGAGGGAATGAAAAACGAAATTATGAAGAAGCATAAGTTACACCAGAAGGCCAAAAAGACAAAAAGTAAAGCAGACTGGGATGAATTTAAGGAACAGCGTAATAAGGTGACGACCATGCTGCGGGAAGCCAAGCTGGAATACATAGGAGCACATCCGGAAGAGGTAGGTAGCATTTTGGGTCAATGATCCTGGAACCTCTGGAATAAGTCTAGGGAAGGCATGGTGTGGTGGACCCAACATTAAGATAATTTCTGTGGGAATCATTTGAAGTCCAGTAGAGCAATGGTATGTTGTAAAAAAAATTTTTAACACTTTCGCATTCTACCATATAAATGTGGCATCCCTGCTGATTTTACTCAATTTTCATTATGCGTTATTGAGCCACTCGATCCAAAATTTAAAAAACTTTTCATTAATCATTATTTATGCATCATGATGAAACCTGAGCAACTGACATTGGTTATCCAATTTTTTATGTCTGCTCATGACTAGTCATTGACATTTTATGTCAAAGTCAATGGTTTAAGCATACTGTATATACAATACTATAAATACTTTTATATGGCAAAATTTAGTAAAGTGCAAGCTTTTTATACAGACTAATGCTATTTGATATCTGCATAGGTGCACAACCAGTTAAAGGAAGAGGGGAAGCTAGGTACAGCTATCTTGAGGTTATCTTGAGAGGATTTTGGGGCTTAGCGTCCCCCTGGCCCAGTCCTCGACCAGGCCTCCTTTTTGTTACACACCCATAGGAAACAGCCCGTAGCAGCTGTCGAACTCCCAGGTACCTATTTACTGCTAGGTAAAAGGGGCATCAGGGTGAAAGAAACTCTGCCCGTTTGTTTCTGCTTCCACCAGGGATTGAACCCGGAACCCCAGGACTACGAATCTGAAGCGCTGTCCATTCGGCTGTCAGGCCCCTTCAGCTGGAGGTGTTTCATTCAACCCACCATACCAACACTGCTAAACATAAGTTTTTGCTGATATTTTATCAATTCCTGCATTAATGTACATTCTATTTCTCCCATCTTTTGTGTTAATTAGGATAGAAAAGCATAGATATGTTTGTTTGGTCCAGAAAGTGATAAACATTACTGTATATATCTATCAGAAGTTGTGATATACACTCCATAACTTATGATGCACATTTACTGTTATTTTTATCTGCTGGAATTGGTAAAGATGGACAGATGCTGTTTAATATTGATAAGTGTAGCATTTAAACAGAATTGTAATTGTTACCATGTATCGGCTGAACAATGCTGGAAAAGTCTTGGTTATCTTAACCTTTAAAGTGCTGCTATTGTGATTCTTTTGTCCCCATGGCAATGTTATCATCATATGTTGATTTGAGTTAATATTACTTATTTTTAAACAAATTATGTTAATGTGGTTATAATACAACTATATGGATGTATTGTATTGTAACGGAGGTGACAAAGACCCATAACAAAATTGTCGTTTGCAATTGCTTACTATGCAATGAGGATATCGTTTACTAGTGGCTTGCAGTTATCAAATCACAATTTGGTGTTTCCTGCATGTGTTTGAATTCATTTCTGGATGGCAATACATAGCAGCAAAGGAGTAACTTGCAAGATGCTTCCTTTGAACTCTTGCTGGAGCAGGCTTACATATGTTTTTGTGTGTTACATTCTAGGCCTCTATACAGTACTGTTACTTTTTGTAAATTGTATTTAAATAAATTCCGTTGATCCACACATTGCGTAAACTAAAATGAAACGGTGAACATATGAACCATCTAATCTTGAATATCACAGCCCCCTCATTTACATGGCTTGTCGACAAATTTACATTGCTGTGAATCCATGGACCCAATACCCACAGAACCAAAAAATTGATTTATTGGTCAGCTTGATCTTTTTCAGTAAGGTGTTCTCGCTGGTCCGGGGCTGGCTAAGTGTGCTTTCCCACTTTCTCATATGGGTGTCTTTTTGCTGCTACTGGATCCATGTGGTGTGTGATCTGATTTCCATTTGATGGAAGGTGTCATCTTTTTTCTTTACTGGGAGGGGGTGGATTTGTTGCTGTGGCGCCGTTTGTGGCAATGCTCCTTTCAGCTGCATTGACCCTTGGCTGGGGCTCTTGTGTCCAACTCTTCCTGTTCTGGTCAGTTTCCATGGCGTCCTTGCTAGAGGTGTTCGTCCTTTACTGTGTTGGGGGATTATGAAGTTTTTGTGCATCTGTTTCCCTCAGGGCCTTGCAGTCTGGCTTTCAGATTGCACCCTTGTTTCTGTGCCTCTTCCATGGAAGGGACTCTGTTCATTTACTTTGTCTCTGAGGGCGGGTCTTTGAAGGCAGCCCCTCCACCTCTGGCCTCTCAAGCCAGAGCCTAGTTTCTTTGGCTTTGCAGGCCAGGGCCATTCCTCTGGTCATGAATGAACCTGTTTGCTTCCACAGAGTCCTGTAGTTACGTTGTTTAGGCTTGAACTCACTCTTTGACTTTAGCATGAACCCTTTTTTGAACCCTGGACCTTCCGGCCCACTCGTTGCAGTGGCCTTGCGGCTCTAGTTTCATGTGTAGTCTTTCGGCTATTTTTTCCCTCGTGTTGTGCCTTACGGCATTTGTGAGAAATTCAATTATACTTCGGATATATGCAGCATTTGATCATTCCCCACGATGCGACCCACAACAGTTGACTAACACCCAGGTTCCTAATCACTGCTGAACAGAGGTGAACAGAGGCAATGGATGTAAGGAGACTTGCCCATACGTCTCGCCCTGCCTGTAGCTTCCAGCCTGTGATGTGGTTTCTGGTTCATGTGGTGTATGCAAAAAGCTCATTTTTCCTTGCCAAGATGGGGAGGGGGTGGAGGGGGATGGCTGGCTGGCTTAACTTTTCCTTTTTTTTCCCAGTCCGGCTGCTTACTCTCGTGTTAGATAGGGTTCCTTAGCAGGCCACATTTGCGTGCTTACATGTTGCTGGATCTGCTGTAGTTGCTGTTTGTTTTTTCTACCCTTTCCATTCTCAAGGTTCAATTTATCTCTCTCTCTCTCCAGTGATGTACTGTCAGTTTTATTCCTTATAACAGACAGGGAGACCCCATTACACACATGGGTCTCAAACTCATCATTGATACCCCCCAAAGAGCAGTGGGGGTAGGACAAAAATTTTCTCCATACTCGTCTCACGACCTGCTGTTCCATATCTTGTAGGCTTTCCAGCCTTCAGCACAGCTGTAGAATGTAGACAACCACCAACAAGCATATAATATACTGGGGTACTTGTGACTGCACTCAGTGATGCCCTTTGAATTTGCACCTGAACTCAAAGGGATTCAAATTTAACCTCTGTATCTTAAGAGAGGCTATACTGACTTACCTTGTTATCTTGAGATGATTTCCGGGCTTAGTGTCCCAGTGGCCCGGTCCTTGACTAAGCCTCCACCCCCATGAAGCAGCCCGTAGCAGCTGTCAAACTCCCAGGTACCTATTTATTGCTAGGTAACAGGGGCATCTGGGTGAAAGAAACTTTTTGCCCATTTGTCTCCACCTCCACCGGGGATCGAACCTCAGGTCTACGAATCCGAAGTGTTATCCACTCAGCTGTCAGGCGCCCAAATTTGGTTAATTTGTGGTTAAATTTGCACAAGAAAATGTGCACCATCGCCAGAATGCGAAAGTGTTATGGGGGATATTAAGGGTGAATTTAAAAAAACGCACAGGAATTCTGCTATATATTGTCTGATGTCAATGTTTCTCAAGATTTGTTGGGAAGGACAACTGTATATATTGTGCAGTAGTTGTGTCTTGACATGATTATACAGTTACATCTTAAGGGTTCCCACCATCCTTCTCCTATGACTTGGTCATCGTTGGGGTGGAGGAGAAGCAGCGAGACAACTTGTATATGAGGTGATGTTGTCACTGATCATTAAAATAGCTATCATTAGCCGATTAATAATTGTCACTTAGACCACACATGACATCTTCTCTCCTAAAGTTTCCTGCCACTTGGAAAGTTTTCTTTGAACTATTGAGAACATCACCTTGTGAGCTGATTTGTGGGAACCGATTTGTGGGATTGTCAGATTATAAGTTTTGCCTGAACCACTGATGCATGAGCTGAATTGCTCTTTGTCATTTGGGTTTAATGATTTACTTTAATTTAAATGAAGTTAATTGTTCTTAAAAGTGCCTTAAATTTATAGGCTTTTTCTAAATCAAAAGTAATTCATTATTAGTCTTCAAATCTTCAGCCACGTTATTGTGACTCATCGTCTGCATAATTCATTATTAGTACAAAGACTTCAGATTCTCAGCATGAAGCTGTATTGCTTAACTCACGTGTTGTAATCTCAGTTTGCTTTAAAGACAAAATTTTTGTGGTTGTGTTGGTTGTGATGTAAGTGGTCCCTCATGCTGCTCTTTTGGTAGTGGACCAGGCCCAGGCCCAACCACGCCATATTAACATTATATTTCACACAATTTACAGGATGTGGATAAAATATTGGCGGAAGCAGCCATGCAAGGCAACATTAAAGATGAGGAAAATAAAGGGGAGGCGTCAGCCACTAGTGAAGCTAATGCGGACAGTTCGGACGCCCCCGAGGGGGATGGGGCAAAACCCCAATCCATGGACCAGGCAGAGGAGAACGGGGAGGATTTAGTGGATCAGAAAGAGTTAAACACCGATGTACCAATGGCTCCCCTTGCCCCAGAAATAGTGGGGGACATAAAATCGGAGAGCAAAGGGGAGAGCCAAGTGGATGTTAAAGCACCTGGTCAATAGGCTCTGAGCCGTGACCTTCACCCACCCTGCCACTTTGTGCTGCTATCATAGTAGCTAAAAACTACTTTATATTCAATCTGTATTTTTGAAATAGTGTTATACTCCATACTTTTTAGACTTAGAAAGTAAATGTTTTTAAGAAAAAAAAGTTTAAAAAATCAGTCTTGCTCTAAATTTCTATTTATATGACTGTGTTCACAAATAATGAATTTATTTTAAATGTCCAGATAAAGTCATTCATTTTTAACTTAAGGTTATGAGATCTTGTATCAATATCTCTTATATGATTAGTGAATTTTTTGTGCAATTGAGACCATTGGCTCATCATAAATATGTTTTCAAGTAGGTTAAGGAAATAAATTTATAGTAAATGACATGGGTGTTTAAATACAAAAGAAAACAGTAGCATGCTTATGGCAGTACATGCCTCTCAGTGGCTCAGTTTTCACACCTTTTAAAAGGTTGCATGACAAGTTGAAAACACATAATATAGATCACAAGATCCTATGAATTGTAATTAGTAAAATCTTTCGTTCATGCAACCTTAGTGGCGACTACTTCACATTGTCTAATGGAAGAGAACTTGTGTCACGAGGCAAGTGTCACACACAACCCGCACAAGTGGACCTTCCAACTCATCCCAGCTCACGATGAACTTGTCTCTACCCAGCCTATGCTTTGTCTCCCGTCTCCCTGTGGTTCTAGACTTGTGGCCATTGCTTAGGGTGATGTCAGGTCCTGGATCACATGTTCCTCTGGATGACATATCCTCTCCTCTCTGGACTAAGGCATTGTCAAATCCCCGGGGCTGATACACTTGACTCATCTTGCAGGCTACGGCATCAGTGTTCCAGCTCATTTCTCACCTTATTATTTCCATCACTTTTATTTTTGTTATTTTAGTTAATTTTCAATTCAATTAGTAAGCACTGGTTTACAAAACCATGTCACCTATGTGCTGTAATTAATTTTTAATTCTTAAATTAATTTTATGTATCAGTTTAGTGCAAAAGTGCACAAATATTCAAGAATGTAACCTCCCTCACTAGAATATTGTGCACACGGTGACATGGGTTGATCACTATCATATAGTGGCATAACAAAAATATGCCCCCAAAACTATCAAGAATCTTAGCTGCCGGAATCAGCATCGGTCTGTGGCTCAGCAGGTAAAGTTACCCATCAGCTCTTGGCTGACTTGTTTCACCAGCTTTATGCTGATCATGTTGTTCTCAGTACAGTACAGTCTTGTGTGTTATCTCTTGTTAAAAGTTAACCAAGTAAAAATTTAATATTGCTCAAGAGTAACAGTGCTCTGTGTACAAAATTTAATGTGCTATAAATCGATTTTCATAATTAATTGTCTTGCAAAGCCGTGACAAAATTGCTCAGTAGACATAGCCTAGCCAGTGTGGAATGTTAGAGTATTTGTATGGTAAGTTGGTTGTGGAGCTATTGCCAAAACTGTTTAATAATACCTAGTGTTATCTCTACAGTGATCCACGTGTGGCACTAGCATCATCTGCTGGGTGGTAAACCATCTAGACGTTCCAGACGAGAAGAGGGACCTCGACTTCCGAACCTCCTTAGTGGACTCGGCTGCTGGCTTCAAACATTGTCATCAGCTACAGCAAGAGACAATACAGTAGTTAAGGGATGGGTCAGAGCATCTATCAGCAGCTTAAAGCCTTTTAGCTAAAAGGGAAGCTCGGAAGACAGTATGGAAGGGGACTGTCCTGCATGTATTTCAGCATGCCATAAGAATGCAGTATGTACAATATTTTGTTTTTCCATAATTTTAAATTTTACTTTGTTTAATACCAATTTGTCAGGGCATTCATACAGTGTTTTCAATAGCTATATTTATTTAAATTTCAATGATAAGTGTTTATGAACCAATAAATTAGAGCACATCTAAAGGATAAAATATATATTTTGAACTGTTGCTGGTCTTCATAATAGGTTGTAATGCTGATAATAGGGCAGGGTTTTAAGATGACATTGGTCATATTAATTGGAGCAACAAGGTGACTGGAACCAGCGATGAGGGTACTCCCAGCTATGTATCCTATCCCTGTAAGGGGAGTACCCTCATCGCTGGTTCCAGTCAACTCGTTGCTCTAATTGATTACTCATCGGTACATTATGTTAGTGCGATTGCTTCGTGTATTTAGTACACTATGGTAAAAAATCAATGAAATTTGAAGAGATAGTCGACATGTGCTACGGCAGTTGTGTATTGCGTGTGCCAAAGGTTTAAAATTGTGGTGTGCATTATTACTTGACTGTTAAAGGTACATGATATATCTAGTATTTAAGAAATGCTGTTTGTATGGAAAATAAAAAATAAATGTTTGGGAGGACAGAGCATTAAATGAAAATGGGGAAATAGATGAAAGAAATATTGTCAGATTATAATGATAGTCATTAAAGAAAGAGTACTGCATAGTGAAACCCTATTTAGCTTTATTAATAGCTGCACTAACTGATTAGGGTTAACTGATACTGCACCATCAGTATCAGTTTGACATAAAACTGTGTCAAGAACAGGAAAGAATAATTTGAGTACTGACCAGTCCTGTTAAAAGAAGTAATTTAATAGATATTGAAGGCTCCATATATGTCATTGATTTTGCAGGTATTTGAAAATGTGTGCCTATTACAGTATACTGTAAAGCACTAAAACATAAATGTGTGCCTATTATACAAGACTGAAATAAAAGTAGTTTCAGTACTGTGTACAGTATAGTAGGAATTTTGCTAGAACCAGCAAACCTTTATCACCCATCAGTTGAAATTGGGACCTTGGCAACTGAGAAATATAGTACGGTATATAATTGGCAATTTTAGTACGGTATATAATTGTTAGTGTATAATATTTATGTTTTAATCATCTGGTAAATATACCATAAATATTAGCATCAGCTGGCAACTCTTGGGACACAAACTATCTCTTATGATATTTCTGAGCATTTTTCTACTGCTCCCCGGGGTATATACAGTGAGCAACTGTTCAATAACGAGGATTAATTTCAGTCAGGAATTAATGCTTGGCACTAGTGCCACAGTGACTGTAGCATAACTGCAGGGTCAGACAAAGAGATTCACTGAAGAAGAAATGAATCCTGCCAAGATTAGTTGCTGATGACTTCGAGGGAAGGAGGAGGAGGAGAGTAAAAGGGGAATGTTGGTTGGTGCACATGACGAGTGAGCACGAAGTGCATGGGGGGTATGGTTAGGGGAGAAGACTGGGTGGAAGTGGTTTGTAGGGAGGGGGGGGGGATGTATTTGTATGTACAGTACTGTATATGGCAGTTCACGCAAGCACTGTACACCTGCTGTTGTGGATGTGACTTAACTGCTGGGATGTGGTAATGCTTGTTTTTAACAGTGATGTTACTTGATATGTAGTAGTGTGAATTATATATAATGAATGAACAAGTGATATCTTTCATTTTAATTATCTATTGCTAACTTTCACCATTTTACACCATTTTTCTCTGGGCTGATGGCTCTCCATCCCATGATTGTGGGCTAACATGGTTATGATGAATTAAATTGGCTCATTGGTTTCAGTCTCGAGTTCATGGGCAGTAGTTTTTGGCTTTCCTGGTACAAGCTTTGTTACTAGGAAAATGATGGTCAAGTCTGAATCACGCCCTCGATTTTTCCTTGTCCGGGAGTAGGCTGTCAGGGCTCATCTTTACAATTGATGTTCATATTTCAGGCTTTTTCTGTCTTCCCTGACTGGTTAGGGATATTTTTGTTTTAAACAACCACAGTATATTTTCCATGGTTTATTAGTGCAGGGTGCCTGCTATTTGTAATTTTGGATTATATGGATTGTTACATTGGCAAGCACACTTATATCAAATTTCAAAATATTTGGATGAATTTTGGAATTATGGGGCTAGAATTAATTAAGGTGCACATTATCATACAAGCTGACCAAACCACACTAGAAAGTGAAGAGACGACGACGTTTTGGTCCGTCCTGGACCATTCTCGGGTCACAATCGACTTGAGAATGGTCCAGGACGGACCGAAACCTTGTCGTCCCTTCACTTTCTAGTGTGGTTTGGTCAACATATTTCAGTCACGTTATTGTGACTCCTTGTCTACATTATCATAGTGTGTAATATGCACTAATCATCGGGTCTGCTGTTGATGGGTCTAATTGCGCAGGTTTTACAGTCATGTCTATGCAAATTGAGGACCACCTATAGTGGTTTCTCAAGTGATACACATACCCACTGTAAGATCTTTGGCCTTGTTTTTTCCCAATTAAGATGAAGTTAGGTAATTACCTTGCATTACAAAAATTGAGTGAGTGCTACATCCTATTTCCTTTTCTCTCTCGTGTTCATGTGCCATTGGCAACATAATTTGCAATTTGTTCATGAACCATATTTAATGTCATAATTGTTTGTATTTTTACAGATGACTGTGGATCACGGCCAGAAGATGACGGTATCAGCAGGATAAGTTTTTCCTTGTACTGTAGTTTGAAATACAATAAACAAATTTTATATCCCTTTGTATTTTATTATTACTAAATAATACCTAGTTAACAATTAAAATAATAAACTGCTGTTGGGTATGACAAGTACCGAAAGGTTACGACAAGTACCCAAAGGGTACTTGTCGAAACAGGTGTTACAAGACTGCTAAGATCAGTATTGCAATCCCCTCTAAAAGTCTCTATTCATGCATGTACAGTACTTTGACCAATGCCCATGTTTTAAGTGCAGTGTTTCATACTTCGCATTCATTTGTATTGTTACCTCTGGAAAGTTCAGATTTTGTAAGTCCCAAACCTGTAAAGTGAAAGTTTCTCCTTTTTTTTACCCATTTCATGTTCCAAAACTTTTTCCTTTTAACATTTTCACCAACATTAACTCTACTGTTCTTTGTATACATAAGTTGAAACCTGCTGGAGCTTGTATATCCATTATAATAATTGATAAAACCTTTGTGCCACCTTTTCCCAGATACAAGTAGTTTTAATACAGAACTTGAGCATTTCAAATCATATAAAATTGCATCATTTCATGAATGTTTGTTACTGTAGCCATTTCTTGAAGTGCCATCATGGTTCTGGAGTCTCTAATCTGGTTGTGATGCATTTTCAACATTAGTTTTATCTCGGTTGTTTTATGCAGTACAGTACCTGCTAAGATAAAGTTTTGCATAGTTCCCAGTTATACTGGTGTCACCTCATGGCCTAGTAGACTACTGCTTAGAAAATCACTCATACCTACTTCAAGAAGTACACCAACCAGGCTATGGTGAGTATGTGGGCCTGCTGTTTGGACCAAGCTCTCACAAGTCAAGCCTGGCCCCAGGCCGGACAAGAACTCGGAACCCCATCTAGGTACATACCCATTCTGTTTTTCCAAAGGCATTTGAAATTGGGTAAGAGGAGGCATTGACGATGATTTCTATTAACGTGCAATTAGGAAAAATATTGACAGGATAAAGGACTAAAGCTCCAGGATAGCATTTAGTCTAAAAATGGCAAAGTAGTTAACTGATAAAGTTTTTGCTACTAAAGCTCCTATTCAGAAAACCCTGTGGCACAAACTAAGTGTCCAAAGACTGGTAATATATGAACTTTACTTGTACCTCCAAGAAAGGCAGAAGCAGCAGAAACCTACAGACCAATCAGCCTAACCTCATATACCTGCAAGCTGAAGGAGGAGAAAAGGAAAACGAAATTATTCATCATCTCGCAACACAATCTTGTAAATGTATCATAACTAGGTTTTGTCAACAATAAATCCTGCCCAGCAAAGCTACTCAAATTTCTGGAAACAATAACTAGCTAGTACTGTACACACACCGAAGATTCCCAATCAACATAGTATAAATTTACTTGTACAAGGCTATTGATATGTACCACATGAAAGACTTCCCCCAAAGCTACCCATAGATCCATTGGTAAAAAAAAAATACTGTAATGAAATAGATGAAATAGGAAAGCTTTCATAAATGGAATAATTTCAGACAAGGAACATTGTGCAGAGCACCAAAAGAATCCAGTAAAGAGGGCAACCATTTGCAGTGAGGCACTGGGAAGCATGTCTAAGAAAACACAGCAGAATACACTTCTAGAAGAGCAGGTGCTGGCCCTAGTGAGAAGAATGGCCTCTGCCAGCTCTTTTCTCTAATGTGTGTTGTGGGTGCCAGATAACACTGGATAACTGAAGAGTGGGCTCGACTGTAATACTGTATACAGTACATCAATGATATCACAAACCAGATCATTGTAAAAATAAGACCTTACATGTATGACAACAATAAACATCAGTTACCAAAGAATGCACAGCCTTGCAATATTGAAAAAGAAATGTGAGGTCAATCACAGAAAGCTTCAGGAAAAGTCAACAAAATTCTAGGAATAAACAGCTGTTCTATAGTATAGGTGCCAAAAAAATATATTGATAAATGTGACTGCATTGAACATACAAACATTTAGAAGCATTTCAATATTGCTTATTTATTTTTCAACAAAAAATAAAAATGTGCACAAGAGTATATAGCCATAAAAAAAAAAAAAAAAAAAAAAAAATCATATTTTTTTCCAATAGATAATTTGCAAAGCAGAGAAATGCACACGGTTAAAGTAATTATCGTCTTGAGCGGTGTTCATCATTGATACATCAGGTTAGGTACAATTAACTCTCTTTAGCATACACACACAGTATATTTAAGCAAAATAACGAAGTACAGTATATCCATATGCCTTTATCAGATTATAATATGATCCTTATGGTCTGAGTAATGAGATTAATACGTAGTGAGAAAATAACTGCCAAATATTTCACAAAATACATTACAATAAATTTACATAAAAGAAACATTTTGGTCATCTGCATCATACATAGCAAACACATCACCAAGCATTTCAGCAGGAACCTCTGATTTTCTCAGTTGTAGTGAGTAACAAGCTTCTTCCACCTTGTGCAAACTAGATCTGAACACCATCATTTTGTGGTAAAGTTCTTTGGCTGGAATATAACCTAAAGATAAGAACCCTCCATGCATTTTTTTTAGGACATTACAGATTTTAAAACACATTTCAAAGTCCCCTGTACTAACACACTTGATACAGAAACGCATAAGTTCCCCCGTGAGGTCGGCAATACCAAGTATGTATTCCTTGGCTTGGACGAGAACACTGATGGGTATTATGTCGGTCTCATTTTCTTGACTACCGAAAGTCAATCGTTGCTGAACGTCGTTGTGGCTGATGATGGTTTCGGTGAGCAAGAAGAAGTGGAATGACAAAGCTTCTATGTACTCTTGGATGCCTAAAATATAGATGAAATATTATTAGAATATTGTAATACTGTACTACTGCTTGGCTTAGACTCTGTAATAAGTATCTCTGGGAGTTTGTATTAACTACTGTACTGATGTGATTTAGACCTGACCAAATGTAAACTTTCAGCAAAAATATTTGCACAACCTGCATCAATAAATTATTTTAAGAGAAAACTCTATACCAAATGTTGAAGAAATGTGTATTTATTTCATTCAAAATTATCTATTACCAGAAATTTTAACGAATTATTTCCCAGTTTGCTAACTGTAGGTAATGCATGCAGGCGACTGTAAACTTTTACCCCGTCCACTAGACGAGTGTAAGGTGTCTGATGGGCAAATTATAATTTAATGTAATTGGCTCGACAAACTTTCACTCAGTGTTACTGCCTCTTGAGGTCATGGTGATGATAGTTTGACAAACTTTGAAAGATACTGTTGGTTTATTTATGTTAGCAAATTATGTAACTAGCTCATTAGTGCTGTAACATTCATAGCTAAACAAATTTTGGGGATCAGTTCTTGTACTATTATGTGCCTCTAACCTTTTTCCATTACTACAGTACTCACAAGATGGTATGGAGTGCATAATAAGTTAACAAAACTAATAGTAACGAATGATACACAATATCAGAGACAAGATTCTGATTTGCAGAATTAGGAAATGTGCATGACAGATTCTATACTTTTACACCAAAATTAAATATTCATGGAGGGGGTGGTATTCAACATGATACAGTATGGTAAAGTATGAAATACTGTATTTGAAAATCATATAAATTAAATATACAGTACTGTATAAAGATTGCAAGTTTAAAAGAGTAATATAAAGTTAACAATAAGAAAAATAAAATACCTGAGTGATCCCCCCCTTCCTCACCCCCATCCATTTATCCTCCCCCTCTCCAACCACTTGAGCTGGACGGTAGAGTGACGGTCTTGCTTCATGCAGGTCGGCGTTCAATCCCCGACCGTCCAAGTGGTTGGGTACCATTCCTTCCTCCCCGTGCTATCCCAAATCCTAATCCTGACCCCTTCCAAGTGCTATATAGTTGTAATAGTTTGGCACTTTTCCCCTTGATAACTCCCTCCCTCATCCCCCCCCTCTGTCTTTATATACATATTGCAAGATTCAAAACGAATCCAGAAATGTAAAATATATCAAGCCTGCCCTAATTCCTTTGTTTGAAACATAAGAAATGTTTTCCTATTTACTGTATATTACTGTACTATAATTATTGTACGTAGTAATTTTTAATGTAGAACACATTCTCTATTTCATTTACTGTACTGTATGTGATGGGGAAATAGTTGGAGTACTCTGGCATTGTGCAGTATCATGTATAAATGTGTTTCATTGAGACAGTTATGAAAAATAACCCAACTCTGGAATACTGTACCTGTGATACACATCCGTATTTTGCACATACAGTACTGTACTGTATAACATTAAGTTTGATCGACATGAATCTGCTCTACATAAGGTAACTCATGGGACTACTGTCCTTCATTACATGACAATACAGTATATGAAGAGGAGGTTTTCAAGTTCATTAGAACAAGTACCATAGAAGAAATAAAAGAAGACTAAGAGAGAGATGTAACTTTGCAGGTGATCAATGATTCAAAATTTCAAGTGAATCAATGGAACTGATTAAACAAATAGCATTTGAAATTCTATGGAAAAGAGGGAAAAGGTGAATAAAGTAAAGCACTGGATATCTGGTTGTCAGACCTGAGGTGTAAGCATTGACGAACTGATGGGGATCTTCATCTCTAAGTTCCATTGCAATATGTTTCAACAGCGCCTGTTCAACATCTCGCAGATCATTGGCAGCAGACGTAAGCACATGTTCCTTTTCGTCATCCCCTAATCTGAAAATACAGATAAAGGTAATTTTTTTAATACAAGAATTACAGTAATGTATTTAAATTTTACAATGTACTACTCCAAAACTATATGAATTGTTCTTATTAAAAAGTTTAGAGAATTAAAAAAAAAAAGAGTTCAATACTGGATATAAATACAGCATGTGTGAGAAATATAATGAGATGGTGTTGATATGAAGAATACTGTATATGTAAGAGGCAAATAGAAAACTCCTTATAAAAAGTTAATGATAGGTAGGGATATGATAGACCATGAAAGACATGAAGCAGTGGACAAGTTGACAAGAGTTTATTGTCTGTACCTTTCTTCATGGACAAGCATGTTATAGTAATATCTTGAATGACATACAGTCATCAATGATAATGTCGTACACTAATACAATATACTATGTTAATTTTGGGTATACTTACGTGTTAAAATGCAAGAAATAGGGCAAATAATTCCATCTAGTGAGCAGAAGTCCAGTTATTTATATGACTTCCCCACAACACTATTCTTAAGTGACAGTATAATCATCATGATCATTAGCTCTTGTGAAAAGATATACCTTCAATTGGGACTTAAAACGGAACAGACTCTCAAGTCTTAACAAACAGGCAACTGGCTAATATCTTGAGCATATCTTGAGATGATTTCGGGGCTTTTAGTGTCCCCGCGGCCCGGTCCTCGACCAGGCCTCCACCCCCAGGAAGCAGCCCGTGACAGCTGACTTAACTCCCAGGTACCTATTTACTGCTAGGTAACAGGGGCATTCAGGGTGAAAGAAACTTTGCCCATTTGTTTCTGCCTCGTGCGGGAATAATCAAGGAATATAAAAATAAACTTTTACAGCAAATGATCTTTCTGTAACACTATGATGTAAGTAAAATGATCTCACCCAAATATTTGGGTCAATTAAACTTAACAGCCTTGAATGTTAGTAAGCACAGTTTAAGCTAAAAAAATTACAAAAATTACAAAATTCATTCTAGAGGAAACATGAATTAATGAAGACCTTGATGTTCTCCCTATTAAGAAATTTTCTAATGGCATAGAAATTATGAATGTGAAAATTCAACCTGTCATCCAAAACTTTTAGTACCTATAGCTACAAATACAGAATATGTGCACCAATTATTTGTGACACCCAAATGTTTATGGAATGAATTGTGATCTCTCATTTATAAGATGGGCAATACCAGCAAAATATAATAAATAAAATTAAAAAAAAAAATAAGCAATTATAGGCAATGTCAGCTGGAGCTAACATCAAACAACACTGCACTAAGTTTCACCCTGGAATTCTTTGAAGGGAAAAGATGATCCTCTTGCTGCGAACTGTGACATCTCTGCTCGTCTTGTATATTCTTTCATATTTGTCATTCTTCTCGTCGAGTGCCTTGGAATACCCACGAAAGAGTGTCATGAGTGGAGTGTCATGGCTGGTGTCTGGGGGTTCCTTTACATTCCTGCGCCCTTGTTCACCTACTGACCCTCGCACCTCAGACATGACAACTGTGCCTGGTGATGCCACTGCTGCTGAAGATGTTAATGTTGAAGTAATTTATACTGTATGATTTTGGGGGTTTTTACTATGCAGTATATGAACATTTATGCATAATATGTATGCATGCATACACACACACACCAATTTTATGTACCAATTTCACAGCTAGTGAAATGGTACATAAAAACAAAGCAACAAAATCATTAGAGGAAAGGGGAGTGAAGAACAAAGGGAAAGGGAACATGTTCCTGAATATTGTATATACTAGTACTACCAACATAGATGGAGCAAGATAAAAAAAATATTGGAGCTGAAAGATATAAATCAGCTTAAAGTCCCAGATATTATCGCACTAACAGAGACCAAACTTGAAAAAAATATTTTAAATGAGGTCGTATTCCCAAGGGATTACTCAGTTTGGAGACATGACAGAAAAACTAGGAAGGGGAGAGGAGTGGCTGTGCTAGTGAAAGAACACCTGAAGTTAAGAGTTAATAATTGTAATTACTTAGGTAATTACATGCACACATGCACATATTAAATGCCAACAGCAAATGTAAAAAAATTGGCCTTATATGCTTAATCTTTAAAGTCATTTGACCAGGCTAGGTTGAGAATAATGACAGCCTCACCCTTTGGCTGTGGAACCTAGAAAAGCCCAATAGGCTTCCTGTCCGCATCAATGGTACAGCATGGTAATCTACCAATATCTAACACATCTACAATTCTTAGGTAAGGCGAGGTTCATAATTCAGACAAAATCTTGTTACTCGACAATGCACTCTGTGAAATTCAATACTGTATGGCTTGCTTTCCAAAGTAACACAAACATACTGAATGGACATATGATTAAGCTTGACTCCTATTGTAAAGATCAATTTATGTTATTTTAATATGAAAATTACTATAACAATATAATAAAAAGGCCTTGGCCAATCTTGCCCAGTCATAAATATTTTATTTAATATATTTAAATGAGTACTGAATTATAATAAACTAAAAATATCTGCTGTTCTTTGAAGCCCTTCCAGTGTTAACTTCTCATATAAATTAAGAATATTGTATTGTGAAGCAATACTGAAGCTTACATGGACCCTTCTCACTGACTGCTGTAGTGAAGTTGACAGGAAACCTTTCAATTCACCCTCCACCCACACACGCCCTTACTGTGCCCGCGGACACAACAGGTAGTACCCCGTATATTAGGGAAAGTCCACTAGGTGAACATGAAAGCTGGTGGAGCTGGCACAGGGGGGCTGGTGGAGCTGACACAGGGGGGCTGGTGGAGCTGCCACAGGGGGGCTGGTGGAGCTGCCACAGGGGGGGCTGGTGGAGCTGACACAGGGGGGCTGGTGGAGCTGCCACAGGGGGCTGGTGGAGCTGACACAGGGGGCTGGTGGAGCTGCCACAGGGGGCTGGTGGAGCTGACACAGGGGCTGGTGGAGCTGACACAGGGGGCTGGTGGAGCTGACACAGGGGGGCTGGTGGAGCTGACACAGGGGGGCTGGTGGAGCTGACACAGGGGGCTGGTGGAGCTGACACAGGGGGCTGGTGGAGCTGACACAGGGGGGCTGGTGGAGCTGACACAGGGGTCTGGTGGAGCTGACACAGCGGAGCTGACACAGGGGGCTAGTGGAGCTGACACAGGGGGGGGGCTGGTGGAGCTGACACAGCGGAGCTGGTGCAGCTGACACAGGGGGCTAGTGGAGCTGACACAGGGGGCTGGCGGAGCTGACACAGGGGGGCTGGTGGAGCTGACACAGGGGGCTGGTGAAGCTGACACAGGGGGCTGGTGGAGCTGACACAGGGGGGCTGGTGGAGCTGACACAGGGGGGCTGGTGGAGCTGACACAGGGGGGCTGGTGGAGCTGACACAGGGGGCTGGTGGAGCTGACACAGGGGGGCTGGTGGAGCTGACACAGGGGGGCTGGTGGAGCTGACACAGGGGGGCTGGTGGAGCTGACACAGGGGGCTGGTGGAGCTGACACAGGTGGCCTGGTGGAGCCGACACAGGGGGGCTGGTGGAGCTGACACAGGGGGGCTGGTGGAGCTGACACAGGGGGGCTGGTGGAGCTGACACAGGGGGCTGGTGGAGCTGACACAGGGGGCTGGTGGAGCTGACACAGGGGGGCTGGTGGAGCTGACACAGGGGGGCTGGTGGAGCTGACACAGGGGGGCTGGTGGAGCTGACACAGAGGGCTGGTGGAGCTGACACCAGACCTTTGTTTACCTCCCTTGGACGAGACGAGTCACATCGTACACAAGACCAGTTAACCAATGGATTTTGACACCTAACCAAACCCAGCTCATTACAGCGTAATGTAATACTTCCTCGAGTAACAATATACTGTACATGGTTTTGACAAACAACACGAGCCTCGTCGAATGGTTTCGTGTCTGAAACGACTTCCCCCCTGGACCCCTAACCCCCTGGGCGTCCGGACACTGGTCACTTGGTACACATTTTTACCATTTTGGACAAAAATAGTACGTTTCGTAAAATATTATAATATATTGAAGAAATAAAGAGAGAGAGAGAGAGAGAGAGAGAGAGAGAGAGAGAGAGAGAGAGAGAGAGAGAGAGAGAGAGAGAGAGAGAGAGAGAGAGAGAGAAGAGAGAGAGAGAGAGAGAGAGAGAGAGAGAGAGAGAGAGAGAGAGAGAGAGAGAGAGAGAGAGAGAGAGAGAGAGAGAGAGAGAGAGAGAGAGAGAGAAGAGAGAGAAGAGAGAGAGAGAGAGAGACAGAGAGAGAGAGACAGAGAGAGAGAGACAGAGAGAGAGAGAGAGAGAGAGAGAGAGAGAGAGAGAGAGAGAGAGAGAGAGAGAGAGAGAGAGAGAGAGAGAGAGAGAGAGAGGGGGGGAGGGGGGGGAAACAGACAGACCCAGGCACTGCCGGATATCATTCAAGTATGGGGTTTATTTAGATATGTTACCCTGTAGGGGTAAGGTCCCAGTGGTGCAGTGGTAAGACACTATCCCCGCGATTCGCGAGAGCTTTGTCCTGGGTTCGTACCCTGCCGGGGAAGATTTATTGGGCGTCAATCCTTAACTGTATCCTCTGTTCCTCAACAATAAAATGAATTGTTAAATGATTTGATGGGGGTCGTATTCCGGGGAACTTTGGGTTTTATAAGGACTTTATAAGGACATTATAAGGACTATTTATAAGGACTAAGGACTTTATAAGGATTTATAAGGTTTTTTAAGGCCCGAAACGCTACGCGTGATAAAACAATATTAGATGGGTCGATAAACAGACACACCAAGATATATTGCACCAAGTAATAGCAAGAGAAAAGAGTATACATTACATTTGTAATTAATAATGGATGACTGGTAATAAATTGATGTACATATGTGAGGATGCCAGACAATTTACATTTAATGACAGAATTTAGTTGAAAGTTGACAGATTTAGTTGACAGAAAGACAGTTGTTTTGTGGTAACAACTTTTATATCTCATATTTTTAATAATAGTAATCGAAACAAAATCATAGTTTAGATATACAAGACATGAAATAGAAAGCCATGAGCTAGATCGATGTCAAATTTCCGACACTTCAGATATTTTGAAAACTGCAGGGGGGTTTGGGCAAAATATGACCCTGCGCCGTTTTCAGTAATTGGCATATTTTCGGTATAAAAAGTCGTAATTTGAAAATGAAAATAGGTGCAGAGAGTCAGAATTCGGCTCAAAAATCACGCTCAGGAGTCAAATTTCCGACATATCAGATATTTTGAAAACCGCAGAGGGGTTTGGGCAAAATATGACCCATCGCCGTTTTAAGTAATTAGCATATTTTGGGTGTAAAAAGTAGTAATTTTAAAATGAAAATATGTGCAGAGAGTCAGAATTCGCCTCAAAAATCATGCTCAGGAGTCAAATTTCAAACATTTCAGATATTTTGAAAACTGCAGGGGGGTTTGGGCAAAATATGACCCATCGGCGTTTTCAGTAATTAGCATATTTTCGGTATAAAAAGTCGTAATTTGAAAATGAAAATAGGTGCAGAGAGTCACAATTCGGGTTAAAAAATCACGCCCAGGAGTCAAATTTCCGACATTTCAGATATTTTGAAAACTGCAGGGGGGTTTGGGCAAAATATGACCCTTCGCCGTTTTCAGTAATTGGCATATTTTCGGTATAAAAAGTCGTAATTTGAAAATGAAAATAGGTGCAGAGAGTCAGAATTCGGCTCAAAAAACACGCTCAGGGGTCAAATTTCGGACATTTCAGATATTTTGAAAACAGCAGGGGGGTTTGGGCAAAAGATGACACTTCGCCGTTTTCAGTAATTGGCATATTTTCGGTATAAAAAGTCGCAATTTGAAAATGAAAATAGGTACAGAGAGTCAGAATTCGAGTAAAAAATCACGCTCAGGAGTCAAATTTCCGACATTTCAGATATTTTGAAAACTGCAGGGGGGGTTTAGGCAAAATATGACCCCTCGCCGTTTTCAGTAATTGACATATTTTCGGTATAAAAAGTCGTAATTTGAAAATGAAAATAGGTGCAGAGAGTCAGAATTAAGCTCAAAAATCACGCTCAGGAGTCAAATTTCCGACATTTCAGATATTTTGAAAACTGCAGGGGGGTTTGGGAAAAATATGACCCATCGCCGTTTTCAGTAATTGGCATATTTTCGGTATAAAAAGTCGTAATTTGAAAATGAAAATAGGTGCAGAGAGTCAGAATTCGACTCAAAAATCACGCTCAAGAGTCAAATTTCCGACATTTCAGATATTTTGAAAACTGCAGGGGGTTTGGGCAAAATATGACCCATCGCCGCTTTTAATAATCGGCATATTTTCGGTATAAAAAGTCGTAATTTGAAAATGAAAATAGGTGCAGAGAGTCAGAATTCGGCTCAAAAATCACGCTCAGGAGTCAAATTTCGGACATTTCAGATTTTTTGAAAACTGCAGGGGGGTTTGGGCAAAATATGACCCCTCGCCGTTTTCAATAATTGGCATATTTTCGGTATAAAAAGTCGTAATTTGAAAATGAAAATAGGTGCAGAGAGTCAGAATTAGGCTCAAAAAACACGCTCAGGAGTCAAATTTCCGACATTTCAGATATTTTGAAAACTGCAGGGGGGTTTGGGCAAAATATGACCCATCGCCATTTTCAGTAATTAGCATATTTTCGGTATAAAAAGTCGTAATTTGAAAATGAAAATAGGTGCAGAGTCAGGATTCGGCTCAAAAATCACGCTCAGGAGTCAAATTTCGGACATTTCAGATTTTTTGAAAACTGCAGGGGGTTTGGGCAAAATATGACCCATCGCCGTTTTCAGTAATTGGCATATTTTCGGTATAAAAAGTCGTAATTTGAAAATGAAAATAGGTGCAGAGAGTCAGGATTCGGCTCAAAAATCACGCTCAGGAGTCAAATTTCGGACATTTCAGATTTTTTGAAAACTGCAGGGGGGTTTGGGCAAAATATGACCCATCGCCGTTTTCAGTAATTGGCATATTTTCGGTATAAAAAGTCGTAATTTGAAAATGAAAATAGGTGCAGAGAGTCAAAACAGGGTTGCCAGATTGGGCTGCAAGTAGCGAATTGGGTTACTTTTGAGAGCCCCACGCTCCCAAATTTTTATTTTCGCTACTTGCGACTTTTTGGGCTAGCTTAAACGCAAGTTGGGCTACTTTGGGCTATTAATATTAAGAAACTCAATGATGATTATTTATGCTTTAATAATATAATCTGTACAAATCACAGCCGAGTCCAACCGATTGACTAGACCACTTACCGCAGGAGAGCCCTGGTCAGAGATCGGCCCCTGGGGACGTTGATCCTAGGAACCTTTGAAAGAAAAAGTAACCGCAAGGCAAGGTAATCCTCCCCAGGGGCAATAGATTTCCCAACCTTAATTGTTAATAATACTTCATCCCAAAAGCTACACCTGGTTCCACAGATCTTCAATAAGGGGAGAAAGTTATCTAGAAATTTACAGATTGATAAATGATGGGGAAGATCCCTTACAGTTAATACCTTTGTCAGGAAGACGATGGTTGGCAAGGAGCGGAAGTGTAAAGCGGCCGTTTGATCAGTGGGGTTCTCTAACAACTCATTACCAAATAGCTTTTTCCTCTTGTGATAAATATGTTGCAAGACAACTATTTTCAATGTACGCTGATCCCATACTGATTGACCTCGCTGAGTTTGTGTTGAAAATATACAGCTTGCCAATCAGTAATGCCCTGGTTGAACGGATATTTTCGAGAGCAACGTCTGTGAAAACTAAACTGAGAAATCTTGAATGGGAATGGGACTTGAGCTTATGACATCAGTCTTGAGAATCAAAACATATCTTGAAGAAAATGTAACTTGTTGCTCGTCATTTGAACCACTCATGTCAATGCTTAAATATGAGTCTGCAATATACAAGAACGACGTTGTGGATGCAGATCAAGATCTTGGTAATCTTCAACTGTAAAGACGTGGAAGGACTTCACACCCATTAAGCTTCAAACAGTAAATATTGGTAAGTTATCCTATTATCATATTGGTTAAATATATATATGCAAAGATAATGTTAATAAAACAATTAAAATCGTTTAATGTACTCTATATATATCGTAATAGATTACTTTGAAACCCTTATCAGTCACTAAACAAAAAATTGGGGTACTCTTATTACAAATTCGCTACTTTTAGACCATCAGCTCGCTACTTTTAGACCGTCAGCTCGCTACTTTTAGACCGTCAGCTCGCTACTTTTAGACCGTCAGTCGCTACTTTTAGACCGTCAGTCGCTACTTTTAGACCGTCAGCTCGCTACTTTTAGACCGTCAGCTCGCTACTTTTAGACCGTCAGCTCGCTACTTTTAGACCGTCAGCTCGCTACTTTTAAACCGTCAGCTCGCTACTTTTAAACCGTCAGCTCGCTACTTTTAGCAATTTGAATCTGGAAACCCTGAGGTGGTGGGTCTGCTGGTCACCCTGGCCCTCCAGCAGCCACTCCCGTCACTCTCACACACCATCACCAACTATCGTAACTTTTGGTCTAATAAGGGAGCAGGAGAGAAGAAACTAGCAGCATATTATAATGTCTGGTGCGTCGAGGGTGTATGAGGTGGCGTGTAGACCATGTGAGCTGCGCCTCGACATCACCCTCCAGTGTGGACAGTCCTTCAGGTGACCCTCCACACTGCTCTTGTTGCTGCCACTCCACCACACTCCCTCAACCTCCACATTGTTCATCATCCAGTCTTACTTTGTGCTTATGTTCTTCTTAAGGTTGCCGATTAAGTTCCCTATACAGTATGTATGTAATGTTGTACAGAACATCCAGGAGAGAGCAGACTGTTATTGACAGTTCACCTTTAAGTTCTACAAAATGTGAGGAACACATGGCTAGTTCTTAAGAGGGGGAAAATGAGCACTAGAATCCAAAAAGATTCCCAGAGGAATCCTTTGATGTCCCACAACTCTCACTCTATACACAAAATGCAGTATTTTTGTTTCCTTAGAGTGGGATAAGTAAGTAGCAATGATATACTGTACAAGGGACATACAGTGATGATGTAGGCCTATATCTTGACATAAAAAAATAATCAATACTACTTTCAAAATCTCTGATTCCCTCCCCTTGCTACTTTCTGTCCCTCCACACTTTCCCCGTTATCTCTCCCAACTCTCCCAGTTTTTCTCCCTCCTGCCTCCCCAAATCTCTCCTATCTAAATGTGTTTTAATTTTTGTACTTTTTTACATATCCCCACCATGTCCACCTCAACCATCATCCTCTCCTACCACCAATCATCGTTTTGTATCCCCTATCTGATTAAACCACATATAGTTTTATTTGTTATTATGTATGACAGTACACCTGCTTTGCTCAATATTAATTTAATTAATTTCAGATGGCGTGAAGCAAATCCTGGAAAGTGGCGTGGGATAATCGGAAATAAGGTATGGACGCTTTCTCAAGATGACTCGCACATTGCATTCCAAGCCCACACCTCTGAGGGTGTTTCTGAAAATCACAATAACGCTTTGAAGGCTGCATCTTCAAGCCAAAAGAAACGGAGAGTATCTGTTACCAAAGCTGCAACAAGGGAAAACTCTGCAAATGGAGATTTTTCACCAGCACAGAAAGAAGTTAAAGATTGTACCAAAACATCTAGTAATATTGTTGATAATTTAAGTGATAATTGTGAAGAAGAACTGAAGAAAATGTTAAGAAATTATTTCCAGTTGGACATCTCTCTGGAGACACTGTACTCTGTATGGTCCAAAGCCGATGGTAATTTTGCTGCTGTCTCCCCAGAGTTTCCTGGTATACGAATATTGAATCAAGATCCAGTTGAAAATGTGTTTTCTTTTATATGCTCATCAAATAACAATATTCAGAGGTACCATGCTGGATTTAATTTTAGGTTTAATACTTATTTTTCAAGACTTGTAAATATTGCAGAAATTGCATCATATTGCTCTTTTTTTTGGAATAAAATAAATTATAAAATCAATAGTTAAGTACTTTTAGTTATTGGTTAAATGTTGAATAATGTACAGTATTTGTAAATGACTTCTTTGAAGCAATCCTCAGAGCTCTCATTTGTTCATCATTTATAAATAAACTTTCACCTTTTAGGGAAATGTTTGGTTAAACAGTAATTTGTATTAAGTTTTAAAGGCTGAGTATTTCTAGAGTATTTCTGTGGTTGAATGTCTCATTATACTTCTAGGATCACTCTGCTGGTTGAGAGGTTGTGTCAACTGTACGGCTCTCCTCTGGCTACTGTGGATGGCATCACCTGGAACTCCTTCCCTAGGGTGTCATCTTTGGCAGCTCCAGGAGTGGAGGAAAAATTGAGAGAACATGGGTTTGGATACAGGTAATAAGGCTGAGGCTCTTAGAACTTATTCATTTCATTATCATAATTTTCATTAGGGTAAGGATGCTGATCATCAGTCACTTTCTGCCAAAAATCTGTGTATTATACATGAAAATAAACATTTCTGAGCAGTGCACTCAGTTACTTCTTAAAGGCAAAATCATACAGATCCCTGATTAGGATCTGGTCAGCACAATAAGTGCAAGGTGACATTGCACATTGTTCCTGCCGGGTCATACAGATCTTGGGGAAATATTGAAGAATACATAGTCCACAATGCAGACAAAACATATTTAAATCAAACTCAGTCTTTCTAGGTGTAATTTGGCTTCAAGGAATCCTTTCACTTTGCATTCTACCTGAATCCTAGGCTAAGAAATTGCCACCAATAAGCACAGAAAAGAAAAGGATAGGTAGGAATAGTTGCAATAGTGTTATTGCTATCGATTCAGGGGTTACAAGATGACTCTGTGAGCCACTGTAAAAGGTGAAAAGCATCTTTTTCAGTGGACCCTTTTTCTGCTCTTGCTCTAACCCTTGTTGTTCCTTGTTTAATAGTGATTCTTTGGCACAAATACTGTATTTCAGTTGATATTTATTTATTTATTTATTTATTTATTTATTTATTTATATACAAGAAGGTACATTGGGTTTGTGAGAATACATAGTATAATATTTACAATCTTGTAAAGCCACTAGTACGTGCAGCGTTTTGGGCAGGTAATAAGTAGTGTGGATATGGAAATAGTGTGTGTGTGGTGTTGCTGCTTCATTGTAGTTCCTGTAGATATCCAAGCAGACCAACTGGTAATTATCCAGAGTGCTTTCTTGATGGTAATTTGTGATGTCAAAGGAGGGGTTCAGAATTTAAGTTTATGAATGAAATGCAGTCAGTCATTTTGAGCTAGACTGACTGTCCTCCAGTGACTATAACTCTACAGGGTTTACTGGAAAAGTTCTGTGTGGTTCCTTAGCAGGATCATCCTGTCCACCAGATCTGGCATTAGGAAGTGGCTGCATGATCTGCTCAGAGTAGTGCCATTTATGTGACTCAAAGCATGTTTTTTTGTTGCACAATTTCATTATTTATATATACAGTATTTACTGTATACAATTATATATATCTATACTGTATATACAATTGACGATCACAAAACACCGATCATTTTATGCGGAATAAATACTGGTATATATATATATATATATATATATATATATATATATATATATATATATATATATATATATATATATATATATATATATATATATATATATATATATATATATATATATATATATATATATATATATATATATATATATATATATATATATATATATATATATATATATATATATATATATATATATATATATATATATATATATATATATATATATATATATATATATATATATATATATATATATATATATATATATATATATATATATATATATATATATATATATATATATATATATATATATATATATATATATATATATATATATATATATATATATATATATATATATATATATATATATATATATATATATATATATATATATATATATATATATATATATATATATATATATATATATATATATATATATATATATATATATATATATATATATATATATACATACATACATACATACATACATACATACATACACTGTATACAGTATTTACATTAGAAAATTATGATATTGATATAGTATGTTATTTTGATCTTTAGTTATGCATGTGCTGCACACCTATACGTATCAGTCATTTTTTATATTCTTAGTTTATATTTATTTTGTTAAACATGCATATACATACAAAGATTAAAGTGGTAAATATTAATCTTTCTTGCAGAAAATTGTAAAAACTGTAATTGTTTATCACCATATGTGTTCTTGGTTTGAATAAAATTTATCTTCAAGAACACTGGTATTGTTTCCAGAGCCAAGTTTATCCACAAGTCGGCACAAATGATAATGAAGAAAGGTGGTGATGCATGGCTTCACTCCCTGAAGTCACTTCCCTACCAGGAGTGCCACAAAGAGTTGATGCATCTCCATGGCATTGGTGCCAAAGTAAGATAAATCTTAAGAGGCTCAATTTATGCAATGAAACTATTGTACTACAGTATATATGTTATAATAGATTGCAATAATGTATATTGTATGAGTTTAATTTTGTGTGATTGATACAGATTTAAGTAATCTATGTCTTATACATTGTGTTCCTGAAGAATTCCTCAGGGAAATAGTTAACCAGGCAGAAAAGCCTTGGGATAGGTTATTTTATAGCCAATTTCATTCACTTTTTACTATCCTGTATGTAATTTTACATTTTAAACTTAAGAGTTTAAATTACTGAGTTTTGTACTTTATTTTCCACTATTATTTTATTCATAAATCATAATTTATCTTGAATAAGAATTGATGCATGTTTCAAGAATTTGTTGGTTTACATAAAGTATTTACCTCTTTATGCTAGTTTTGTGTACAGTATGAGGATAGTCTGTGCAGAGTACAGTATGAGGATAGTCTGTGCAGAGTACAGTATGAGGATAGTCTGTGCAGAGTACAGTATGAGGATAGTCTGTGCAGAGTACAGTATGAGGATAGTCTGTGCAGAGTACAGTATGAGGATAGTCTGTGCAGAGTACAGTATGAGGATAGTCTGTGCAGAGTACAGTATGAGGATAGTCTGTGCAGAGTACAGTATGAGGATAGTCTGTGCAGAGTACAGTATGAGGATAGTCTGTGCAGAGTGCAGTATGAGGATAGTCTGTGCAGAGTGCAGTATGAGGATAGTCTGTGCAGAGTACAGTATGAGGATAGTCTGTGCAGAGTACAGTATGAGGATAGTCTGTGCAGAGTACAGTATGAGGATAGTCTGTGCAGAGTACAGTATGAGGATAGTCTGTGCAGAGTACAGTATGAGGATAGTCTGTGCAGAGTACAGTATGAGGATAGTCTGTGCAGAGTACAGTATGAGGATAGTCTGTGCAGAGTACAGTATGAGGATAGTCTGTGCAGAGTACAGTATGAGGATAGTCTGTGCAGAACTATCACATTTCACCTCTCATTGAGACTCCTCCCCTACACATATTCTCTCTTGCTATTTGCTACTCCACCTGCAGATTCCTAATGTTTATTTTTGTTTAAATTTTGTCTTTTTTGCACAGTTTCTGCAAGATATCTTTCATCAAGGGACAAGTGGAGATAATACAAAATGCCCTTTTGACCCCTTGCCACGAGTACTTTGTGAAATATTAGTAATACGCTCATTTAATGGAAATTGTTGTCGAGTGATCAATTATTAATTTAAGTTTGGGAAATAAACTTTTATGATATTTGAGAGATGCTTCAAGACCAATACTGTTGTGTCTGTGGTGACTCGTAGCTGCTCAGCCTGTAGAGGGGTACAACAGAAGTAACATCTGTACACCTATCTCTGATTGGCAAATTTGCTTTCTCCATTTTAAAGGACTATCATCTGCATGATCTTGCTTCGTGGTCATTTAAGCTGTGAATGTCAAAGCAAAAGATTACAGATGCACAATATCAAGGACCTGGTCAAATATTATATGATATGATATGAAAATGTTTTTCTAGGCACATAGACTAGGGTCAATTATCTCATCTTAGACCTGGTTTTCATAGGGCGACTATGATCACCTTTAGCAGGGAAGGGGTTTAAATCTACTAAAAAGCATGATGTGCCATATTACCAAGCAGTTACTGGACCCCAATAATTATTAAGCACTTTACTCATTACACACCATTGTATTTTAATGTAATATTTAGTACAACTAGCCTTTCAAAATATTACCTCTTCTGAACATATCAGATAAACAGGCTTTAGTATCTTTCCCTGTTCTCATCATGTGTTGCTTGATCTTCTAGTGTCTTGAACAATATATAATCCTCTGAAGAAAAATATGTAGAATATGAGTTGCTTTTATGTTTTGCAGGTGAGTGACTGCATCTGCCTTATGTCCATGGGTCACTTGAATGCCATTCCTGTGGACACACACGTGTTTCAGATAGCTGCTCGAGACTATCTCCCACATCTACGCACTTGCAAAACTGTTACTGATAAAGTTTACCGAGAGATTGCTGATCATTTTCGCAGTGTATTTGGAGAATATGCTGGTTGGGCTCATTCAGTAAGGCGAATTATGAAATTGTTGAATATAATATATATTGTTTGAGCTCTTCTGGCTATAGATGTCTTTTGCTTAGTATTATGTAACTGGACATCTATTAAAAAAATCATAAAATTTTGATGACAAAGATTTGCAGACAAAATGTGGTTTTGTTGAATGGTTTTATTATTTGGTAAAAAGTAATTCTGCATTAGTGGTTATAATTTACCCAAATTTAAATGACAGTTGAAGATGATAAAATACATTCAATGGAATATATAAAAATAAACTTGTATACATTGTTGAAGCTAATGCAGTATTTGCAAAACGTAGGTACTGTAGAGTCAACAGCTTGGAAGGTTCTAAATATTCTATCTGGAATCTATCCCAATTAAATTTTATTTCCCTGTTTTCACTCAGGTTTTATTTAGTGCCGATCTGAAGAAGTTTGAGACACTGAAGACTGAGAAGAAAGTTAAAAAAAATGTCCGCACTTCAAGATGATCATCGCTGATATTTATGTCCAAATCTACTGGTGTTGAAAACCTTTTTGTATTTTTTATGAAATTGTCTAAACATGTAAACTGTGCTATTGCAATAAATTAAATATTTTTTAACAATTCTTTGTATGTAACCATATACTGTAATTATCCTCTAACCCAGTAAGCATATAATTTGTCATATATGCTAACTAGTCTCATACCTACACCCTAAGAAAGTTCTGTATTTTAAATGCCAAAAAGTAAGTCTGACAAAATATTTGGAGTTTCAGGTGGAAGTTAGGGGGGAAAAGGGGAAGGCAAGAATAATTAAATTTTAAATTAATTTTTTTTCAGAGTCACATATGTTTGGGAGTGCCACACATTCTTCAAGTGTGGCACTTGCATAATTTACTGTATCACTAAAGACAGTACTGTTCTGGTATTGTACAATTTAACCATTATTATTATTATGTTGTTGGCACTAATTTTTTTTACAAGTCATAAACAGTACTGTATATCCAACGGCAGCAAATCTTGCATATTCTTTAGTAGGTTATTAACCATAGTTAATTTATAGTTTGTTCATAAATTTTAGCGATTGAGTAATTATTAATCAGAACTGGAAACTGCCCAAACCTGAATCTTCAAGCAAGAGAGTACATACTGATAACATTTAGCATGTAATGTCTTGAGTGCATTCAGTTGGTCAGTCTTTTAGACTATCACAACTTTGGGGCATCTTCACAAATACATTTTCTTCAGTTTTTTCTACACTGGTCAACTCCTGTGCCAGGTAATGGGTCAACTCCTGTGCCAGGTAATGGGTCAACTCCTGTGCCAGGTAATGGGTCAACTCCTGTGCCAGGTAATGGGTCAACTCCTGTGCCAGGTAATGGGTCAACTCCTGTGCCAGGTAATGGGTCAACTCCTGTGAAAGGTAATGGGTCAACTCCTGTGCCAGGTAATGTAATTATCAAAATTAAGCACTATGCCATTATGACTATATAGCTCTTGGAAGGGATTTGAGGCTAAAGATTTGGGATAGGACACACAGTATGAAAGGAATAGTGCCCAACCATTTGGATTGATGTGAATTGAACATCAACCTGCAAGTGAGACCGCCGCTCTACCATCCAGTCAAAGTGGTTGTCGAAAACTCCTGTGCCAGTTCATAATTGTTTTTGTTGTACACGTTGAGCTAATTTAATTCTTTCCCAAAATAGAACAAAGTGGGTAGAGTTGGGAGTCTAATTGAACTGGTTAAAACATCCCCCTCATTCCAACACTTCCAAAATTCTAAGGCTGCCGAGAAGCATACTTTAACCTGAAACAAGAGTAAAAAGTACAAACCAAAGTTAAATACACAGGACTATTCTCAACGAGGTTCAATTAAAAGTTTTAGTGGAATGTGTGTTGCAGTACAGTAATTGCATTCTTAGTATACAGCACAAGTCCAGCAGCAGAGCCAGTCAAGGTTGTTGGGGAGTTTTATCTGCATTATGGTTAGTCTTAACACTTGACCTTCCAGCCATAGTGGCCAACTTCTTGTACACCATTTTTCTTGTCATCATGCTAGATCATAATTTAATTTAATTTAGGTGAATTTACCCGAGGGCCACTAATACTAGTGGCCTCGACGAGGACAGGAAGCTAGGGGCTTGTCAAAGGTCCCCCCAAAATATATCATGAATCCCCAGTATATCATGAGATATACTGGTGAGGGGGGGGGATATCATGAGATATACTGCAGCTGAAATATATGTTGAGACTTTTGCACAACATTATTTTTGTTCACGAGTCATGAAGCACCTTATAAATGTTATTAGTCACATCTTGGTGCCGTATTCACAAATAAATGAGAAAGCTTATAGTGGAAAATTGTAAAAGTAAATAAAAATAGCATGGACTGATAGACAGTAATAGAAATTACAAATCTAAAAAGTCTGTAAATGAGAATAATGCTCCAGGGCAGCAGCTGAGCAGGACTAACAAGATAGACAATTTACCTGAGGAACGCTAACACACTAATGGTCTCGACGAGGACTGGAAGCCTGTGGCTTGTCAAAGGTACCCCCATTTGCCCTGAAGATTTTTTCAAGCTAGATTCAGTTCAACAGTTTATTGGCATTTACGGCTCGGCGGATAGGCGGTTCCATGGTCTTATAACTCTTGTGGATGAAAAAGCATCTCCTGTTCTCAGTCCTACATTGTGGCTGTTGAGCTTGAAACTGTTTGCTAATTATTAGCGTTACGCCTGACCTTTTGAAGAAATGTGCATCAACACACTCCAAATTGTTCAGTACCTAAAATTTTCCAAGTAAATTTTAAGTTTCGGTGAGATCAGCCCTGTCATGTCTGATTTGTAGTGCTGTTTTGCCCTGGGGTCCTCAAGCTGACCCTGCAGTCAGCTGACCTTTAATAATAATGATATTTAGTTTCGTCAGGGGACAGAAAGCCTGTGCATATGTGAGGTCGGTCCTCATAAGGTCGATCTAATGATCCTTCCCAGGATACAACCTAACATCAGTTGCCTAACTCCAGGGTATCTATTTACTGATACGTAAATAGAGGCAGAAGGTGAAAGGAAACATCCCCAGCCATTTGTCCTGTCCGGAAATGGAATCGGATCCTCGATTGCGAGTAAAGAACAAAGCCAACTGTACTAGTTTGTACTCGCTACAACCCCATCCCATAGACTTATATCACCTTGATTCACACATTTGTGAATCAATAAGGATGCCTCAAGTTTGTAATTGATCCATCCAGAAATGTAGAGTTAGCTATATAGGTGTCTTGACATAGCGTTGATAGTATTAGTAGTTGTTAGAATACAATACAAAGAAAGAGTGCCAAAGTGAGAGAAAATAGAAGTTTATTCACTTAACATTTATACCTCTTTATATATTGAATGAAGTGAAATAGCTGTATTACTTGCCTCATTTAATGGGGGACATAAAGCCCAGAAATCAACACATGGTAAGTAAATCAACTGTGAAGAAATGATAATAGTTAATGACGACCACAATATAGGATAACTGAGTTAATAGTATTGCTGTTATTATAGATTCAGCTACTGGGAACAAAAAGTTCCAAGTAGCACGGGCTATGGTGAGCCCGTAGTAAACTTACCTGGCACAGGAGCGGGGCTGTAACTGGTTAATAGTAATTGGCGACCGCTGATAATTAATGTAACGACCTAGTTAATGTAACGACTGATAACAACTGTTTAAGGACATGACGAATGATATGATAATGACTAATTGTAACACTAATAATCATTAAAATGATATGAAGAGTAAGTGGGTAATATGGTCGTAATAAAGATGCCAGGGGTGAGAAATATATAAACCTCGTATTATAAACTAGAGCGCCACGTTAGGCGCGAGCTGGGAATGCTTAACGTGAGCGCTTAAACGACCCAATGCAACGCAGCTAAACTACTTTAACACACAAGTAAATAGTCTACTTTCCCAAATTACTAGTTTCACTCTTCCAAATACTAGGAAAATAGTCAAATAATTGTTTTTGTAATGAAGGCTTGTGTTGCGGGCGGGTGGAGGCGAGGCGTTAAGGAGAGAGGTCGGGGTGAGGTAGAGTATATGTGAGTGTGGCAGTGTTGAGGCGCCAGTGTCCCTCCTGCTCTTGTGTGCTGCTCCACCCTCACCCCGCTCCCCGCCACAGGTAATTGTGCCCCCTATTACAAGTGTAACAAGACGACAGTGACAGACAGGTTAAGAAAGATGGAGTAGAGATGTGTGTTGGCGAGAAGTGAGAGGTTTGAGTGTGGCGGGCGGCCGGGGCCGGCGCAGGTGGTTGCCGGCACTGCGCACATGATCAAGAAAAATCGATAATCGACAATCTTTGCTCCCACACGGTTAGGTATTCGTGGAAATCAGGTTCTCTCACGAAATATAAAATGAGGGCCAACGGGAGGGCGTCAGAGATGAGGGTAAAATGGGTGTATGTGTTATAGTTTAGAGGTGTGTGTAAGGGCGCGGGTCCGGGGCGGTGCGTAGGGCGGTGCGCACGGCGGCCATGTTTGTTGTTATGTGTTGAGGCGGGGATTCGTGTTTTGCTGGTCCACACTAGGTGAGTGGGCCAGGTTTTGTCCTCTTTTGGCACCCCAGGCGCCTCCCACCTCCCTCCTCGCACCGGCCACACTTGCACCGGACTCCCGCGCTCGGTGTCATGCCGCTGTGAGGCCCGGGGGACCGGGTTATGAGGCAGATATGAGGAAGTAATGCTGTGGCCGCCCTCGCTGCCCCAGTCCTCGCGCTCCCTCCCGCTGCTGGATACTTGTATCCTACAGCGTAACTTGCTCGGGTGCTGGTGCCCTGGCCGTGTTCTGGGCATGGCTGAGCACGTGGGCATGGCACGGCGGGCTAAATGCATGGCACGGCGGTGGCAGGTGGACACTGTGCTTGGCTGCATGTCACGGGGAAGCCATTGGTGACGGGCCATGTGACGTGGCCATTACTTGGGTCTTGGCCGTCATGACTCGCCGGAATAAATGACTCGATATTTATTTATACATAATTTAAGTGGTTGGATTTTTTTATAACATACCTTTTTTGTGTAAAAACTGTACTTAAGCTGTGCCTGAAATTTGTATTAAATCCCAGCCTAGAGTTTTTTTTTTTATGTACTCTGTGCCCATTCTGTGGGCAGTAGTGGAAAAAGTTACACAAACATGAGTCGGGAACTTAACCCCAGAATTAATATAGCTAAGCAAGTTAGTTTCTTGTATATCAATGGTCTCTTATAGCACAATTTGTTGAACTGCACCACAAGTCTCTGTAATTTTCATGTGATGAGCTGGTTACATACAGTTCAGTTTACTAATCATGCACCCTAGTGCAGCAAACAAAAAATTAAAAATACATTAACATTATCCCTTGTAGGTTTACCCAGGCTTAGCACAGCACAGTTTAAAATCTCTATTGGCCACATTTTTGTTCCTCCTTGTAGAGAGCATTAATGTTAAGTGATACACTTCTCGGTGTAATATTCCAATAGCAATTTGGTTGTTCGACTCCGTGGTTTGCAAAGAAACATCTCGTGATAGATGCATATCTTTCTAAAACCCCCCCCCCCCTGCCTCCTGGATTTATGATGCATACACTATGTAATACCTG